CCCCTCACTCCGCCTTGGCGACGTAGTTGATTAAGATGCCGAAAATCAAACACCTAGAAAGTAAATGGTCTTTTACGTATTTAACTTATATATTTGTTTATAACTTGCTCTATTTGCGCACTTATATCGTATTTGACATGTGATTGACTAAATTTTGAGACCCAATGGTTAGTAAAATCAAAATTTTATTCACGCCGAATACGCCGATTACGCCGCCGCCGCCGGCCTTAAGGGGGCAGTAGCACTTTGTGCACGCTTTTTCAAGTTTTTTCGAATTTTTTGTTTGCACCTGAATTAAAAAGACTTCCATGAATGCTAGAGACAAACGGCAGTAACCATGTAAAAGATCAATTTTTTTGCAACAATTTCAAAAAAAAGTATTCTGGTTTAGCATTAGGGGAGGCACTTATATGAGGGACGTAAAAAAGATCTGCAAAATCATACATGGTGTCACTGCGCGCACGATTTCAGCCAAAGTTTTCAACTTTTTTTCAATCGGTAAAGTGCATAAAAAAGAGCATAAAATTGCCTACAAAATGAACCACGGGGGTTAATATCGGGCCAAAAACGCTGGTAGAAAAAGGTCATTTTTCACAAATTTTCTATTGAATGAAATTTTCTTGTTCAATACTAAATATCCAGTAGCATTTTTCATCCGATATTAACCCCCGTGGTTCATTTTGTAGGCAATTTTATGCTCTTTTTTATGCACTTTACCGATTGAAAAAATGTTGAAAACTTTGGCTGAAATCGTGCGCGCAGTGACACCACGTATGATTTTGCAGACCTTTTTTACGTCCCTCATATAGGTGCCCCTTATGCTACAACAAAATACTTTTTTTTGAAATTGTTGCAAAAAAATTGATCTTTTACATGGTTACTGCCGTTTGTCTCTAGCCTTCATGGAAGTCTTTTTAATTCAGGTGCAAACAGAAAAATCGAAAAAAATTGAAAAAGCGTGCACAAAGTGCTACTGCCCCCTTAAATTGGCCAAGCGCCGCCGCCGACCAAACTGGGGTCGGCGCACACGTCTAGCGTGGCGCTCTCGGGGCCGCGCCGTGTCCCACTGGCTGACATTACCGTAACCACCGCCCACCCCTTCCCCCTGGCGCCTGGCGCCCTTCGGTGGGCCGAACGAACGAACGCGAGCATGGACAACTTGAAGCCGATTACCCGTCACGCGAGGAGGGGGGGGGGGGGGGGGGAGAGTCCAGCGGGGCGGCCGGCGGGGAAGCGATTCGGGAAACCAAACACCGGTGGAGGCCATTCTCGGCTGCTCGCCAGAAACTTTGCGAACCAACTGAAAACTGGAAAGCGATTCAGCCGGTTCGACCCGAAAGCGGCCAAAAGCGAAGCGGAAGGGCGCAATTTCCGGGGCTGCCCTCCCCGGCCCGGCCCGGCGGCCCCGGCGCTGCCCGGCGGCCCTCTGTCGCTCTCGCGAGGCGTCCCGTGGGGCGTCCCGTGGGGCGTGCCGGCGTGCCGTAGGGGTGCGAGAGAGACAGAGTGCGCCGTTCCGGAATGCAGCTGGCGCCGGTGGAATGGATCGTTAGCCTGGATCCATACATGCGGGGCGGGGCGGGGGGGGGCGGGGCGGGGCGGGGCGTTCCTCGCCGGGAGAAAAAGAGAACGCCTCTCCGGCGGCGGAGAGGAGAGCATGAAAAGAAAACACGGTGGAAGCGGCGAGCGTGGGAAAGCTTCCGCTGCGAATATGGGGTGCCTGCAGACTGATTCCGAGAGTCGCTTTCGTCGCTCTGTCTCTCTCGCACTCACGGGGCGTCCCTGTTGGGTGCGAGAGAGACGGAGCGACGAAAGCGACTCTCGGAATCAGTCTGCTGCCGGCGTGGCGGCGAGCACTGCTTTCGGCGTTTGAAGCGAACTCGGCGCGCCGCATGAGTTCCTCAGACGAGACTCGGCCGGAGCCAATTAGAATTTTATTGAGATTTTCGGTCGGGTGCGCGCCGCCCGCTGCGCTGCTTGGCTGCTTGCAGCGCTCGGTTCGCTAAGGTGACCAGGATTCATCAAAATGCATCCCCTGGCTGCGTTCTCCAGGCGTTCTCCAGGAGTTGTCCGGGCGTTCTCTAGGCGTTCTTCAGGCGTTGTCCGGGCGTTCTCTAGGCGTTCTTCAGGCGTTGTCCGGGCGTTCTCAAGGCGTTCTCCAGGCGTTGTCCGGGCGTTCTCTAGGCGTTCTCCAGGAGTTGTCCGGGCGTTCTCTAGGCGTTCTCCAGGAGTTGTCCGGGCGTTCTCTAGGCGTTCTTCAGGCGTTGTCCGGGCGTTCTCTAGGCGTTCTCCAGGCGTTGTCCGGGCGTTCTCCAGGCGTTCTCCAGGCGTTCTCCAGGCGTTCTCTAGGCGTTCTTCAGGCGTTCTCCAGGCGTTCTCCAGGCGTTCTCTAGGCGTTCTCCAGGCGTTCTCCAGGCGTTCTCCAGGCGTTCTCTAGGCGTTCTTCAGGCGTTCTTGCGGCGTTCTCCTGGCGTTCGCGGTGCCCCGGCCCTGCCCCTCCAGCGCTTGATCCTAAGCTACAGCCGAAAGGACGGGGGAAAGAATGTCGTCTCCGGACTCGGGCTCGGCCAAGCGAGCCCCTTAATGAGCCCGAGGGAGATGCTTATTTATCCGGGCGAGGTCAATGAGTTTGCCTGATTAGGGTCGCGAGGAAGGAAGGGGGTGTGTGTCTCCCTCGGCGTGCCTCGCCCGCCGGCAGCGGCAAGATAAGCAAGCAGAGCCTTTTAAGTTTGCGGAGGGAAAGTCCTAGCGGCGCGGCCCGATGTTCGCGCTCTTGCCACGCCGAGGTGCGAGCATCTCCGTCCTCCGTGCTGCTGACTGATTCCGAGAGTCGTTTCCGTCGCTGTGTCTCCACCGCACTCGTCCCGTGCAGGTGCGAGAGAGGCAGGGCGTCGGAAACGACTCTCGGAATCAGTTTGCAGCACCGCACCGCCGAGCCGAGGGTGGCGGACTCGCGCCCAACGCCGTCGTCGAGGCCGTCGTCGAGCCGCTCGACTGAAACTTCGTTAAGCCTGCCCTGCCTTTTGCCTGCTTTCGCAAGCAGCCCGGCAGGCATTGTGCGGCGCTGCGACTCCACGGTAAATAAACAAGGGGGACCCTGATGATGTCTCTGGAGCTCCATTTTGCCGACACGCCGTGCGTGGCGTGGCCTGGCGTGGCTTGGTTTGTCGGCGTGGCGTGGCCGTGGCGTACCCGGTGTGGGTCCTTTCCTTTCTTGACTCGTTCGCTCCACTCCCCCGTCGTCCCGTCGTCCCGTCGTCCCACAACACCGCCCTATCTCCCATCTCGCCCCCGCGACACGGCAAGTCTGAAGCCGGACGGGGCCTGCCGCTCCTCTCCCGCGACGTGTGTACTTGACGTGCCGCGCTCTCTCTCCTCTCAGTGCCGTCCCCCCTCCCCCGTAGGGCAGTTGTTACTCGCTGATTTTGTGCACAGAGAATCAGACAATACGAATTTCTATGAATGTTATTTCAGGCCGGGTTCCTTGTGAACGTCATTTGAATATCGAAGTCTTAGTTTCTATGAATACAGATGAAGATCAAGGATTTCCATCAGTATTCTATCAATGTTTGTTCTTACAATGTATTAGAATATTGCAATATTGCAAAATACTGATCCAAATATGATCATCTCGCCGTGTACAAGATAATGCTTGGAATTGAATGCCCCCTCGCGTCCCCTCTGCATCCCCTGTGCTTCCCCTTCCCCTCCGCGCCACCCACGCGTCCCGATTCCCCCATCCCGGCAATATTCGTCGGCGAAATGGAGTGGATGGACGCGACTCGCTGGCTGCTGTGATCGGGTCGCCTCCCCCTCCCCCCCCCCCTTCTTGCAGCCCCGCCCCCCCCCCCTCCCGACTGGCTGCTGCTGGCTTCCCGACGAGCCCATTGGCGCTGCTCGGTTCGTGTCGCGTCGCACAGTGTGCCAGAAGACCGGTGGAGGCGGACAAAACTCTTGGCGCGTTTTGAGCTCCAGAGTCGCTATGCAGGACTCAATCCGAATGTATGACCCAACCAATGGATTGCTCTCCGAACGAGGAATCCATTGGTGGGGTCACACGTTCGGTTCGAGGCCCGTTCAACGACTCTGGAGCTCGAAATGCTTCTAGAATTTTAGCTGCCTCCGCCGATCTTCTGGCCCACTGTCGCGTCGCGCCGAACACGGTGGCGGCACTGTGAAATTTGACCTGGTCGTTCCCTCATTTCGCGGCCTTCGGGACACCGACTGACTTTCTTGCGTGGCATTATGTTGCGCGGGGTGGAAAGGGGAGGGGGTGGGTGCCCAGCCGCCGCCGCCGCGCTCCGAGATTTAACTTGCATAGATTTCCCCCGGGTCGTGTTCATCCCGGCGGCAACCAGCGGCCCCCCCCCCTCCCCTCGCACCCCCTGCTCTTACGGTTCCACGTCAATGCGACGAACGCGTCGTATTGAAATTCGGTCCACTTGAGAGTGAAAGTCTTTTTTCAAACAGATGGTTCTCGTTCTCGTTTCCCCGAATAGAATCAATCCGATTTTTTCCTTTTTTTTTGGTGACCCGTACGTACGGGATAACAAAGAGGCTGTCAGTTTCTGCAGTGGGAGCAAATAATAGTTGCGAGGGAGGCAGCTCTTGCTGTTAGGTTCGGTGGTTGGGCGCCAGTCAGAGAGCGCGCTTCGTCGCTGTCTCTCTCGCGCCCCTTCGGGACGGCCCAGGGGTGCGAGAGAGACGGCGACGGAATCGCTCTGATGGCTGCGGTGTACGGCGCCGCTTAATTTGGATTTCCCTCTTTTTATTTTCTCTCTCGTCCCTTTCACCCCTCAATTACGACGGAGGGGTGTCGCAGCCGATGGATGAGGCTGGCAAGGTTGGAGACGACTCAGGCCGGAAATCTAGCAACGCGCCTCTCTGGTTTCCGGTACTCTGGCCGACGCGGGGTCCGCCGCCAGCGAGGCGCGACTGGAGGCCGCGCCCCTGCCTCTCTCTTCCTCTCTCTCTCTCTCTCTCTCTCTCCTCTCTCACTCTCTCTCTCTCTCTCTCTCTCCTCTCTCTCTCTCTCTCTCTCTCTCTCTCTCTCTCTCTCTCTCTCTCTCTCTCTCTCTCTCTCTCTCTCTCTCTCTTCGGTGGCAAATTCATTCCGACGGGTCTGGCCATTTTTCGACTGAGCGGGAATGGCTCGGCCTTTTGGCGTTTTGTGTGACGAGCCCGGCGAGGCGGCGAGGCGCGGCCCCCTGATGATGTTGCCGAGGGGCGGGGCGGGGCGGGGCGAGGCTTACATCGTCCTCTTTCTATCAGCCAGCGGAATCTTCTTACAGCCTGCCGGGCTGCCGCCCCCGGCTTGCGGTGGCGGCCTGGAGACTCATTCCGCACAGCGCCTCCTCGCTGTCTCTCTCGCACCCCCACAGACCGACGGCTTGGCCTACGGGGCGCCCCGTGAGTGCGAGGGAGACGGAGCGACGGGGGCATTCCCTTCGGAATGAGCCTACTGGGAAATGGTGCCATTTGTCGAGTGGCGGGCCGCCTTTGCACTGCCGAGTGGCCGAGTCGACGGGCCCGCCATCGCCAGACTACCTCCTTCCTCCTTCCGACATCGATGACGACATCGCACAGTGGATTTGCCAGAAGACCGGTGGAGGCGGTGGCGTCGTGGCGCCTTGGCGTCTCCGGGGACCGACGGAGCTGGCGGGGTGGGGTGGGGCGGGGTGGGGCGGGGCGGGGCGGGGCGGGGCGGATGTCGCGTTAGAACCCTTTACTCGTGTGAACACGTTGCCGCCCGGGGCGAGGCGGCCAGGCGGCGAGGCGCCCCGAAGCCCCAGGGCACTGGAAGCAGCGGCCCATTAGATTGGCCGAACCGAACCGGATGAGAGGAAAGTGGGAGGGGGAGGGGGGAGAAAGAGGAAGAGACGGCCGACGTTATGGACGGGACGCGACGTCGCTCGTAATCTGGAGCGGAGTGAGCGCTGGAGCTACCAGTGTGTCTCATTAACGGGTGCTAATGGCGGGGCGGGGCGGGGCGGGGTGGGGCGGGGCGGATTAAGGGGTCGCTCATAAATCGTGTGACCCTTTTAGGGCCGGGGTCGGCCTCGTCTTATCGCCAGGGACTACTGCCGACTTGGCCATATTTCCTCGACTCGGTGCCTTCATCTCGTGGACGCACGGCCAAGGTCGCCAAGCTGTTCCAGTTTCGAGGATCGAGTTACCCTTTCGCTTGACCGAGGGGTGACCCACTGTAACTTGTTTTCGCCTCTTGAATGCGCAATGTGTTCAAATACTGCACAGTGAATGTGCGACGTCCTTCTCCCCCTCCCCTTTTGCCCCTTACGGTGTACCGGTGCCCTTCCTCTCGCTGTGCCGTGCTCTGATCCTCTGCAAGGCGACTACTAATCCGTTTGTCTTGTGTTCCAGGGGCGCCTTCTCGGTGGTGCGACGATGCGTCCAAAAGTCGACCGGTCTCGAGTTCGCCGCCAAAATTATCAACACGAAGAAGCTCTCCGCCAGAGGTGAGCAGCAGTCGCAGTGTGGCACCACAGTGTAGCGAACACTGGATTTGCCAGAAGACTGGTGTGGAGGCGGCCAAGACGCATTTTGAGCTCCAGAGTCGCTAAATGGGACTCGAACCGAACGTGTGACCCCACCAATGGATTGCTCTCCAAACGAGGAATCCATTGGTGGGGGCCACGCGTTCGGTTGGAGTCCCATTTAGCGACTCTGGAGCTCAAAACGCGTCTGGAATTTTTACCGCCTCCACCGGTCTTCTGGCAAATCCGCTGTGCAGCGTCATGTAACGCAGCGGCGAATGCGTGCAAATGCGTGCAAATGCGCGCAAATGCTCGCGGGGCGCTGGTTAACAAACGCGCCGCTGTGTCTGTGAATGAATGTGTGAGTGAGGGTGTGTGTCGTTGTAAAGTGTGGTGCACTTTGCAAATAAGCGCCGGGCAGAGCGGCCTGCATGCACTGCAGCCTTGCTGCACTCTGCCGCTGTTATTGAATCGCGTTAGTCTGATGGCAGTTTGATGACAAGGGGGCCCGGCCTGTTAATGGCGCTATGGCGCGCGGTGGACCCCGCCCCCCCCCCTCCACGCCCCCGCTTGCAGCGCGTTTTACCTTAGTGAATTGCAGGCAGAGCCCGCCTCCCTCCAACTCCCCTCCTCAATGATTTGGCGTGCACTCTTTGTAATTGCGCGATGCGATGTACACTGCAGGGCCTAGGGGTGTGGCCTTCATCACTTATTGAAACGAGCAGCATCGCCCCCTTCGCCTCGGCCGCCGTCGATACAAGAGGAAAATGGAGGAGGAAGAGGATGGCAGGAAAATGCTGACTGTTGGCAAGCACTGTAACCGAGGGGTGACCCACTGTAAAACTTTGAGTACTGAGGTGCATTCTTAATCTTACATGCTACTCTTCCGAAAAAAAAAAATAGTTTGGCTGGAATCTGAGTGTATTACCTGAATATGTTCTCTTGTGAGGGCGAGCAGGGCCCTACACGTGAAACCCTACACGCGTGGCGGGGCGTGGCGGGGCGTGGCGTGGCGGGGCGGGGCGTGGCGGGGGGGGGGGGCCGTTTGCCCTCCGGAATTGCCTAATCCCAGAACCAGCGTTTCCTTTTTAGCAAACAGTGGTGGCGCGGCGCTCCTCGGCGCTTCCTTCCCTCTCCGCCTCCGCCGTCCCACGCCTCGCCCGCCTCGCCGAATGGAAAGAAAGGGAACGTTTTTCCACTTCTCTCTATCTCTCTCCCTCCCCTTTGCTGTTAATTCACGGTTTGGAGGCGTCTGCGAGCGCTCTCTCTCTCTTTCTTTCTCTCTCTCTCTCTTTGTCGTGCTCCGTCCGCGGTGGAGGAAGGGTTTAGCGGGTCTGGAAGGAGCGGCCCGGAATTGGACCGTCCATTGCAGAAACATTGTCTTTTGATCTTCTTGCCGCGGGGCTGGGACGTCCCCCTCCCCCTTTTTCCAGCCGCCTTTCTCTATTTTTTTTCCGTAATTGTTCCCGGCGTTTTCAAAGCGAGCGCGCGCCGAAGGCCGAAGGGCCGAGCACGAGGCCGGGCCGAGAGCGGGGCGGCCGTCTACATTGATATTGAATGAAGGTTGCATAATTATCGCACCTGCTTTCACCCTCGCCCCCGTTCCTCTCCCCGCGGCCCCCGCGGCCCCCGCGCTGGCTCTGCTGCGGCCGAGGCATGGCACGGCGAGGGAGAAGGCCAGACCGCCCCTCGGCCTCTTTTGCCTCTCCAGCCGAGGCACCCGCTCAAAAGGTGGGCGGGCACGCTGGAAGCCGCCGTCCTTCTTGAGGCATACTGTCCCGTCGAACTCACCAGCATCCAGGATGCCTACCCACAAGGCGCTATGGCGCCTGACGGCGGCAGGGTAGGCAGGCCCGTCGAACTCACCAGCTTCCAGGATGCCTACCCGCCAGGCGCTTTCAGCACTCCGCGCCTGCCTCCGCGGCCCCGAACACTGTCCCGTTGTGCCTGTTGAGTGCTCGGGCCTGTCCTAACGGGACCCGCCTTCGTTCGCGGTGTGCCGCGGGCTCGCGGCCACCCCAGCCACCCCATCCCGCGGCCTCCAGATGGGCCTTGAACGGGGCCTCGGCCGGCCGAGCTGTTAACGTGATGATAATTGTGTCTGCGTCGTCCCCTCCACACGGCAGCGCCCCGAGCACCTTTTTTCCAGACTTTTACCTTTTGTTTCACCTCTTTTTCCCCCTCTCACGCGCTATTCTTTGTTGTTGTATCGTTTTTTTTGGACCCCAGAGTTGTTTTGTTTTCGTCTGTTTTGTTTCGTACGTCACGCCGCCCCGGCGCGTTGGGGCTGTGGGCGACATTCGCATTGGCAGCACGTCCGAAAAGCGTCAAATCCAAAACGCGTTTCGCAGCGCCACCGTGAAAATGAAGGGTGTGCCCCGCGCAGTGGCGTGGCCGGGCCTGGCGCACCTCGGCACGGCCCGGGACACAGTGGGCCAGAAGACCGGTGGATGAGGCCAAAATTCTAGACGCGTTTTGAGCTCCAGAGTCGCTAAATGGGACTCGAACCATACGTGTGACCCCACCAATCGATTGCTCTCCCAACGGCCACCAAGACGCCCGACGCACTGGGATCTGGAAAGCTCCATTTTGGCGCGTCCATGCACCAGGACAGAACCCGCCGTGGCGGCAACGGCAAGCTCCAACTTTTTTTCAATTTCGAGGGTCGTTGTTCAGGCCTTGAAAGTGGCGGTAAATGCTGCTTGGAATTTATTGCGGCAGGCTGGTCCGCCCCCGCGCGCCTCGGCTACTTTCTTTCCACCCACACAACAGGTGGCGTGGCCCAGGCCCAGGCCCAGGCCGCGGCCCAGGCGGTGCCGCAGCGCCGCGACCAGCATCGCGTTTGCCTTGCCTCCGCTCGCGCGTTTTGGGTGCGCCGAAACCCGAAACACAACAGAGGCGGGCAGGGGACAGTGGGCCAGAAGACCGGGGGAGGTGGACAAAACTCTGTGCGCGTTTTGAGCTACAGGATCGCTAAATGGGACTCGAACCGAACGTGTCGCCCGTACCAATGGATTGCTCTCTGAACGAGGAACCCATTGGTAGGGCCACACGTTCTGTTCGAGGCCTGTTTAGCGACTCTGGAGCTGAAAACGCGCCTGGAAGTTTGGCCGCCTCCACCGGTCTTCTGGCCCACTGTGCTGCCCAGCCCTTCCCCTCCCTGCGTGTTTACCCGCGGCTGCCCGCGGCCAGTGGCGTGGCCGTGGCGGTGATGCCGCGGCGGGGCGCTATGCGGCAGCGGCGGCAGCGGCGGCCAGCCTTCGGAAATAGCCGCAGACATGCGTGGGGCGGCCGGCCGCGGGGCGGGGCGGGGCGGGGCCGGGCGGGGCGGGGCGGGGCCGGGCGGGGCGCCGCGGAATCTGACTTAGCGTGCAGCATGCACCGGTGTGCCGCTGACCCACGGTGATTCGGAAGAGTCCTATCCTCGCTCTGTCTCCCTCGCACTCATGGGGCGCTCCGCAAGGGTGCGAGAGAGACGGAGCGACTCGGCTGCTGCAGACGACACAGACTACAGACGCTGGCTGTGCCCGGCTGCGACTGGAACGACTCGCGCCGTGCTGCAAGGAGATAAGCGTGAAAAAGGGGTGGGGCTGGGTTACCATGTTACAGCAGCGGACTGATTCCGAAGGTCGTTTTCGTGTCTCTCTCGCACTCACAGGGCGTCCCGTCTAGGTGCGAAAGAGACAGAGCGAGGGAAAGGACTCGGAATCAGTCTGGTGTGTCTTGGATCCCCCATGAACTGCAGACGTCGGGTTCCTTTGCAGCTCGGGTTTCGTCCGCCCCGTCCACCCCGCGAGCTGCAACGCCATGCTGCCTCCCCGCGATAGCACAGCGCAGCACAGCGGAGAGAGAGAGAGAGAGAGAGAGAGAGAGAGAGAGAGAGAGAGAGAGAGAGAGAGAGAGAGAGGGAGGGAGGGAGGGAGAGAGAGTGCAGGGGAACGGAGTAGAGGGATCGAAGAACGAAAATACCCCTCGTCGCGTCGCGGGTCGCGCTGCGTCCTCGGCACCCCTGAACGCGACGCCGCTCGTCCCGCGGGTCGCGGGTATGGCCGGCCTGGCGTGGCGTGGCGCGCAGAGTGAAGCGTGGCGCGGAGCACCGCGACCGTCCGCACATCACGCAACGCCTTGCTTTCTCTCTCGCACTCATTGGCAGTCCGCAGGGTGCAACGGGGACAGGGCAGTGAAAGAGCGTTATGTCATGCGTCTCGTGGGCAATGCCCGGCAATGCCTAACTCCATCCCGGCCCCGACACACGAGAAAAAATGAGAGGAAGGATGGATGGATGGATGGATGAATGAATGAATGAATGAATGAATGAATGAATGAATGAATGAATGAATGAATGAATGAATGAATGAATGAATGAATGAATGAAGGGTAAGGTGGTCCCAAGTGCGGTGCTTAGGGCCTGCACACTGATTCCGCACAGCGCTGTCTCCGCGTGACACCCCATGAGTGCGAGAGAGACAGCGCGCGGTGGCGGCGGCGGGCTCCTTTGTCCATTCATCGGCCTCGCTTTCTTATCATCCAGTTTGTGCCGACAAATCGCGGACGGCGGTCGGAGCTCGGCGAGAGGCCTCAGGCGGTCTCGCTCGCACTCCTACGGCGCGCGCCTTGAGTGCGAGAGAGACAGAGCGACGAAGCTCTGCTCGGAATCCGCCTGCAGGGGCTGGGGCTGCTCGGGCTGCTCGGCCAAAGCCCCCCGCCCCCTCCGCCTTTTAATGATGTCCCCTCTTGTTGGCCTGGCCTGGCCCCGGCTTGTCCCGGGCCAGGCTGCGAGGCTAGCTGGGGGCTCCGCTGGGTTCGGGAGGTCTGGTCCCGAGGGGCGCCGAGACAAGTAGTGCTAATACCGCTCCTGGAGGGGACTCTGAGGCGAGGACAGGGCCCGATGATACACAGACAAACCCTCTTGTTGTCGAGGACCCCGATCTGGACCAAGATTTCGTATTTGATGTGCTTCTGCTGGCTACTGCTTGCGCGGGCTGGTCCGCGTGGCCTGGTCTGGCTTGGCCTGGCCCGTATGGGGCTGGCTGGAGATTTATTCAGTGCTGACTTTATTGTTTTCGCCTTTCCTTCTATCTCCCTCTCTCCAGGAACGGCTGCTCTCCCGGATCCTCTACAAACTTAAGCTGGGGCGCGCCTCTCCGAGACTCTCCGAGGCTCTTGGAGGCTCTTGGAGGCAGCGACGACGCCGGCCTCGGACCATTCTGTCATTTTAATTCCCGGCCCTTGCGTTTGTTGCAGACTTCCAGAAGCTGGAGAGAGAAGCCCGCATCTGTCGGAAACTGCAGCACCCCAATATAGGTGAGTTTGGCTGGGCGCGCGGCCCGGGCAAGTCGAGCCGAGACGGGGCGGCCAAGTTCCGACCAAAGCGACGGTCCCATTTTTGTTGTTGTTTTCGTTTTCGCTCCTTCTCTTTGATGGCTGTCGCGCGCGAGCCTCCGCCCGCGCTCCGGCCCGCTAGAGACCCTCCCGTCAGAGATGCGCAAGCCGGCGCTTGGTAGTCCCGTGTAGTCAAAGGCACCCTGAGTCAGGCTAGCGGGCGACCGCCGTATACCTGCTGTGCCGCACCAGATGCTGACCTGCGTAGCCTCGCGCGGGGCGAATTCGGGCTTCCCGCTCCGCACGGGACTACCAGTCGTCTGTGATTGGCTGAGAGGGCCCTTCTTTGCGCATCTCTGACGGGAGGGTCTCTAGGCCCGCCCCTTACACCTCCTCTCCTCCTCCAGTGTGCCTTCCCCCGTATGTGAACTCCGGCCGGATGTCGGCCTGGAGTGACCGGAAATTGCCTGCTGCTTCCGTCGTGAGATGAGCCGTGTCGGGGGGGGGGCTGTCCTGCCGAACGGCTGGAACGGCGGGACTGGAGGATACTTACCCTGCCCCGCAGGCCCAGCCCAGCGCAGCCCAGCGCAGCCTGCATAGTAATTGACCGCTCCGCCCGCTTGGCGCTCATTCCATCGTTCTGTCTCTCTCGCACTCGTGGGGCCGCCCGTAAGCCCGAAAGGGTGCGAGAGAGACAGCGTCGGGGCTCCAGCGCTCCAGCTTCAGCATCCGTTCGCTGTCGCCACTCTGGCTGCCGGGGCGAGGGAGGCGCTGGCAGGGCAGGGCGTGGCGCAGGCCTCGGTTGGACAGGGCGATTTAGTTTATTTAATTTCCTGGGGCTCAGTTGCACGCGTCGACGCGGCGATTGAAACGGATTGCGTGCCCCACTACGCCCCACCCGTCCCACCCCCGACCCAGCCACCCTGTGGAAGCCCCGGTGCGGCGGTACGACTGGGCGGCCTGGCGTAGCGTGGCGTAGCGTAGCGTGGCCTGGCGGCAGGAGGCCTTTTACGCCCCATCATGTCGTCGCGAGCGATTTCGGCGTGAGCCTTCGTGCCGTCGGGCCAAGGCGGGGCAGGGCGAGGTGGGGGTGAGCTCTGCACGGCCTCGGCGTCGGCTCGGGAGGCGTTCCCGTAACTCGCTCAGTCAGGACAAGGGCTGTCTGGAAAGCCTGGAGCGTGATTTCCTTACTGGCTTTGCCTGACGACAAAGTTGGCTCTAGGTGGCGGCGGCGGCGGCACTACGGCTGTGCCGGGCTGTGCGGAACGGAGCGCTGTTTCCCCGTCCCCGCCCCGCCTAGCCTAGCCTACCGAGGGGATGCTCGCTCGTGTGTAGAGTCACAGTGTCGCAGTCGAGCCGGCTGCCGTAACAGATGTTTCGATGTTTCGATGTTTTGGCCCACCTGCTGCGGCAAGGCAGTCTATCGGCTGATTCAGTCCAGTCGGATAGTTTCGCAAGCTTGCAGTCTCAGCCAACACGCCATGACACCCCTGCACCTGCAGCCCCACAGACTCCCTGAACCATCTGGGGTGTTGGCAGGACTGGGACTGCGTGCTCTGGGAAACGACCGAGTTGAACTCTTGAACTATTGAGCTGCAAAAAAAATCAGGGGTAAATTATCACTCACTTGCTGGGTGGATAAATTGACCCTTATGTTAAAATATCTTATCCCTACCCTCACCCTCAAAAGGAGTAAATTTAGTCGCTTAGGAATTGACACGACCAATCCCATCAATTTAACCCGAATTATTTTTTTTTGCCAATCAGCCTCTTGACAATTTGTTCTGTCCCAAGGATGAACAATAATCCAATTATCCAAACAATGTACTGAAGAGCTGTTTGTTTGTTGCAGTGCGGTTACATGACAGTATACAGGAAGAACACTTCCACTACCTGGTGTTTGATTTGTGAGTAACTTTTAAATGCAGACTGAACAACTGCACGGCTTTCTGTTTGACCAAGCCTTTCCTTTCATGCTCTGACTACTTTATAGCTAATTGTTCTTCCGTCTGATTTACAGAGTGACTGGGGGCGAGTTGTTTGAGGATATTGTTGCTCGAGAATTTTACAGTGAGGCTGATGCTTCCCATTGCATCCAGCAGATATTGGAAAGTGTTCACCACTGCCATTCAAATGGTGTTGTGCACAGAGATCTCAAGGTGCTTGTCGCTTCAAACTTATACCTTTTGTACCAGTTCCAACATTACTCTCATACATTCCTATTTCTTTCTCTGAACAGCCTGAAAATTTACTTTTGGCAAGTAAGGCAAAGGGCGCAGCTGTGAAGCTCGCAGACTTTGGCTTGGCCATTGAAGTTCCTGGGGAGCAACAAGCTTGGTTTGGTATGTTGTCAATAAGTTAATTTTTAAAAGGTCGGCGTTTTGTATGCTTAACATATATTTTTGTTGTTACCAGGATTTGCTGGAACTCCTGGATATTTATCACCTGAAGTCTTAAAAAAGGAGCCTTATGGCAAACCAGTAGATATCTGGGCATGTGGTGAGCATTCGTTAATTTTGTTTCCTGAAAGAAGGCTGCTATAGAAGTGACTCTCAATTATTGTTATTGTTGCCCTTTTGTCTTATTAGGTGTGATCCTGTATATCCTGTTAGTGGGATACCCTCCTTTTTGGGATGAGGACCAACACCGCTTGTATGCTCAAATCAAAATAGGAGCCTATGATGTAAGGTTTTGATTGCACATGTCTGAATTGCATGTTAATTTTATTTTTGATATTTAACAATACTCATTTTCCCTCAGTACCCATCTCCAGAGTGGGACACTGTCACTGCTGAAGCGAAAAGCCTTATCAACGAAATGTTGACTGTTAATCCCTCAAAACGAATCACTGCCTCTGAGGCACTGAAGCACCCATGGATCTGCGTAAGTTTTTTCTGATATTTAATTCTTTGTTTGCTCGGTCTATGAGAAAATTATTTACGGTTCTTGTTTGTTTGTGCAGCAACGAGAGCGAGTGGCATCAATGGTCCACAGACAAGAGACTGTGGACTGTTTGAAGAAATTCAATGCAAGGCGCAAACTCAAGGTAAGAGACTTCCCATTATGTTATAATGATATTATTGGAGTTAAAAACAAATTTTTAATATTTCTTCTTGGTTTATTTCTAAGGGTGCCATTTTAACCACAATGCTTGCCACTCGCAACTTTTCCAGTAAGTATGATGCACATGGTGAGTATCTCCGCCCCTGGACTGCAATTTTTTTTTTTTTTTTTTTTTCAATTTGCAAGTATGAAGTACTGCTTTTTTTCCAAAATTATTCTAAACAAAGTGGAGTCTGCATTCTGTCATGTTTGTTCAGAATTTGTAAGGTTCCAGCTATAAAGAAATATCTTTTGAAATAGTTAAAGCAGTTTTGATTAGGAACTGTTGTTTGTTGTGGAAGATCTTTCCTATTTTCAATTTAAGCTTGAGATAGGGATGTCACAAGGGTTGTTTGATGATATTCCTTTCAGTTCTTTTGTGCATGTGCTTAAATCTGTAATCTGAAGGCACAAATATGAACAGGATGCAGTACAACAATTTCAGAAAAGGTCAATTAGGCAAACGGAAATAAGCAGCACACCTTCTTTATGTATTGTCTTCACTGTGACTCGGGTTTTTTGAAATGTAATGCTAACTGTGGGCTAGGGAATTACTTCATGCAAGCTTTTCTGGTGTGCTTTATGAAAAAACATGTAAAGAGGAATACATATCACATGCAATGGTAAACATAACACAACTCAAGAACACAGTCCCATTTCAATTTTGAACAAAGATACTCATTGTAAAGTATTCTTTTGGTGGCCCTTTCGTTGTCTGTTTTTTTAATGAAAAAATATCCTATTTCTATAACTTTTCTAGCCATTTTATATTCTCCAAATAATTATGATATTGTTTGATTATTATGTCTTGTTCCGTGTTTTGTTTTAGTCATTACCCTTTTCCCAATCTTGTGTCCATTTTGCATGGGACCTGGTAGCAAACCCCTGCACTGTCATGGGATGCATTGCAATGCGTTGAGTAGAGCAGCCTATGGCTCCCTTCCTCCCCTGTTCTTTTCTTTCTGTTCCTGTTGATATTGTTTCATTTGTCCCGCCCTTTAATGTAATTGGATGTATATGATATTTGTTTCATTTGTTATCTTCTGCTAAAGTCTTGTGTTTCTCTATAGTGACACCAACAATATTTTTTCTTGGCAAATCATTCTTGAAACCAGCTGGATGTCAGATAAGGTGGTTACCTTTTTCATTAAATACATCGAGTGAAGCTAAATAAGACATGCATGTCCCTTTTCTAATCTTCCTGTTATCAAGGAAGTCACCAATATTAATTAACCCATCTTCAAATAAAAGTTATACCCTCTTGAACAGCATTAGGTTTTTTTATCTTATGGAGAATGTAAATTGACATCCTATTAATATTTTCTATGCTTAATGTGTGCAATGTAAACAATAGTAAGTGCAACAGAATTTATGCACTTGACTTGTAGAAGGTTATTGAAAGATTTCTGCAAAAAAGTGTTCTTTTGCACATATTTTTATTTTATTTTTATAGTAAAGGACAGTTAGATTCACAGTTTGACAATCTTATCTTAACAAATTATTGACAACCTTTTTTTTTCTTTTCATCGGTGGCTGCTAATCTGCTCTTTGAACTAAATGACCTCATCCTAAAGTAAAATCAGCATTTAAAAAAAAAAAACTGATGCAAATCAATAAAAATCTGGGGGCGGAGGTATTCTAACGCTATTTGTTGGTCACTTTAGTGTGTGTGAGAGAGAGAGTGAGTGGAAGTGAGTGATGGTATGTGTGTGTGTTTGTGCGCGCCCGCGCATAGTTTGAGGATTAGTTGTTCTCATACTATGTTGGTCAGGTTCCTTGAACTTCACTGTTTTTGTTTTACTTAGTCAAGGTGAACTTGTATCAAGGTAACTAACCGCTCACCAAGCTTTTTTTTTCTTTTTGAAACAGATCATTATTTATGGTGGCTTTATTAAACTTAGAAGTTGCTTTTATCAACCTCATGAAAAGGATAAGTTTAAAAGTTTCAATAACCAAACGAACACAAGTTTTGTGTGTCTTAGCTGTTGAGATTGGTCTCTGTAAATATGTGATGCTTTTAATTCAAATCATGTGTAGATACTGCTCAATCAGTTCCTTGCTTTGCAATTCAATTGTTTGAGTCAAAGCGGTAAAATTTGAAATCACCAACCAGTTGAATCAAATTTCCATTCTTTGTTCATTGTGCCGACTTTCCTATAGTCGACAGCAATGTCGTAAATACAAATTTCTCAAGGAAAAACCATTTCTACAGAAGAAAATGAGGCTGATACCACTGTGCTCACCTTGCACATTCATGTTCACTTATTAATTTTTTCCCTTTTTTTTCCAAACCTCTGAAGACTATTCTATAAAGGGAGGGGGTTGGGGGTTGCTAAAGGTGGTTGTGTGATCATTCTTTTGAAAATAAATAGAATGTGATTATCATACTGACGACATGCTTAAAATCAATTACTCCTGTTCTCTAAGCTCAAAATCGGTCTGGTAACAGTTTAATTGCACCCTTTGACCTTCTATTAGTATCCCATAACAGGTCATATTGGTGTCTCTAAATTCCTATTACTAAATGTCAATGGAGTGTCCATTCATTACTTAACTTTAAATGATAACTATTATGTAGATTAGTTTTGTAAATATTATTTTGTAGAAGTAGCCTTAATATTCCTCTTGTTCTTTTGTTTTTATCTCTTTGTTACCATGGTATCTGACACTGATGTAAACTCCTCCAATCTACCCTTCAGAATGTGGTAAGAACGAATAACTTAAACAAAGTGTTGGATCAAACTGGTGTGTTTACCTTAATTTTTTTCTTACGCTATACCTATCAGCTCCTTTCGAGTGATTTTTGTGCTTTGAATGCATACTATTTATTTGTTGAGTGAGCATGGAGTGCATTATCCGACTCATTCATTAAGCAGAAGAATGTCTATTGAATGATCTCATACACCTGATCATCAAATATTTTTATGATCTCTGCTTATCAACAAAATCCTCATAATTTCATAATTGCTATTTTAGAAGCAGTTCTCTTGAACTTATCATCAAAATTTGCTTGTATCACGTCTCAAATATTTCTTACTTTTTCCATCTCAACGGGTTTTTTAAAATTTTGGGTATGCTTTGCATTAGAGATCCCACACTACCAAATTTTCATTATTTGAAAGATACCCCTTAATCCTTTTCTCTGCTGTAAACTATTGCTTGCCTTTTTTCCAGAGCTGTTTGCTTTGTGGCTTTTTACTGTGCATGAGTGTGTTTTCTGCTCCTCCTCACTTCTCATCAACCATTTCATTTGTACTTAAATTGCACCCCAATAACTTGCTCACTTTCACACATTATCCAAATGCCAGCATCTTTGTAATCAAAATTGATGCATCATTTGTTCTTTTAAAAAAATAATTAATGATCAAAACATATCTATTTACACTACCAAACCTCTTGAACATTGGAACACCTGCATCTTCATCTCCATAACATTAACTCAGTTCCATGGTTCAGTTTTCATGCTACAAACATCTTTTACTCGTATTAATATAGGCTGTCTATGTGTGTGCTGTTTGCCTTGAGGTTTTGATATCATGATGTGCATTATTACTACTTCATCATTGGTTTTGAAGAGAGTGCCTTTAGTGTGATATGGAAAGCAGCAATCTCTTTATAGAACCCTTTAGCTTCCGATTAATTACAAGCGTGGAACTTGCAGAAATGTTTGTTTCATCCGGCTTTGAATTAGAATAAGAAATACAAAATTTTGAAGTGGCAATCTGCTAATGTAGCATTTTGTTCTGATTGTCAACTGAGACTGACCATCCAAACTTAGCGAAGCAATTTCTGTAGCTCTCCGTAGTGCTACAGAGGCCCTTCATTTCTTCCACTAACATAGATTGTTTCTCTTAGAAATGAAAACCACTTCATACTTACTTTGAAGGTAGAAAACAAGTGTTGTTTTAAAGCCATTCATGCTGTACTTTCAATTTAAGGTGATTAGTTGAACTATAACCATTGGCTGCACATTTTCTCTAAAGTAAGGCATTTTATTGTCTTTGCTATTGAGGGCCAATTTTGCTCAAAAACAGCTGTTACTTTTATTCTGTATCAAGAATTTCAGGGAAACCTGAAAATTAAGCTTAATATGCTTTTCTATTTCCTATATTCTTTATGTACCTTATTACATTGGATTATACTTGAGAATAGTCTCTGTATCAATACAGTGTAATGTTACAGTATTTCACTTTAATTATGTTGTGACTTGGTTTCACCTCTTGCTAAAACTTAAGTGATAAGTATTTCATTAGCTGCAATTATAGTTATTTTATCTGATTTCCAGGCCGAAGTATTATTACCAAGAAAGGAGATGGATCCCAAGTTAAAGAATCCACAGACAGCAGCACAACATTGGAGGACGATGATATCAAAGGTGAGTTTTGTTTTTACTTCTGTTGGGTTTATAAATTGGAGAGCGATGTCATGGTAATTTTTCAATGGAGTCCATTCTTTTCTCCAACATTTGATGCCACATCTTCCATACATTAAATTTTAATTCAATTTCAATGAAGTCATATTAGCATATTAACATTTTGTGTGCCATGTCATGTAACCAAGACTTGCTTTGGGTGTATTGTGTTGTGTATTATGTGTGAGTTCTGTGGCTTTTAAATGTCCTGTAGGCACTTTCATTTACTTTCTTTACCTTGATATCAAATTACCTGGGCGCTTACTGCATGCAGATGCCTTCATCAAGTAGAATCTAAAGATCAGTTCTGTGGTTACTTACATTGAGCAAAACTTACCTGAAAGTACCACATCATAAGAAATATATTTTTTAAATCTCAAGGGAACCAGCTGTACCTTAAAGTTATAGGACATTGAAGGACCTCAGTGGTGTAGCTTTGGTGCTCCTATGTAGCAAGCCTCCGCAGTTGTTTAGGTACATGAAATCGCATGAGCAGGTGTATTTGCTCACCTTCCTCTCCATCAAAAAGCAATGTAGTCTTTCACTTCTCCTTTTCTGCCTCTTCATCTACATACTTTTATTGTTAGAGTAGTCTATCTTAAATCTGTCTGAGCTGAGTTTTGTTAGTTGATTAAGACTAACACCCTTCTCTACAGAAGTGCTACTAAAGCAACTTGAACCATAACATATGTTAAGGAAGAGGCAAAGAAGGGAGTCAATCACATAAATTTAATACCTATCAAAGCAATAGGTACAGTATTTATATAGTCACTGTAGCTATCAAGCTAACAGTAGTAATTTTGTCTGTAATTTAAGAAATTGCTAGCATGGCCTTGAAAAACCCTTTTGTAATGGGTTTCTATGGACAGCTCAACACAGTAAACGCAAACTCGGAAGGCCTGATAGTATGATGATAAAAGTAATTACTCCCTGTGAGGTGCAGAGTCATTTGCAACTTAACATGCAGGATCATCTAGCTATACTGGTCTAATAAAACAAAGTTTAAAATTTATTTATTCTAGCATCTTAAATTAAATTTCCCACTTTTAAATTTTTTACATCAACTTGTACCTCCTAAACAAAATTTGATTTTACCAACATCAAAATTATTTTAGATGCACAAATGTAGCTGCAGTATTGTTAATACTTTCCTGTGATTAAAGTTATTGCTATTCAAAGCAGCTTCTGTATACGTACTATGTTTGGTTCCCCAAACCTCAAGTTACTTTCAATGTTTATTAATGTATGTGACCTCTTTAAAGGTTAAAACAGGAATGTGTGTGCAGTCTGTTGTTATCACAGCGCTTGATTGACGTATGTTAAGATTGTTTGTGATTTGTGTGTGAGCTTTGTCCTAGAATATATAATTTAAATTCATTGTGAAGCAGAAGGTCCTGTATCTCTCTTGTCTTTGTTTCATGTCCTAGACTATAACTTCAAGCCTTTGAGCTTCATCTTGATTTCCGTAGAATCAGTTTTCTTATCTTAAGTTACAGTATTGCGAAGTGAATTATTGCTTCCAATGCGCACTGTCAAATATTATTTTTTTATGTTGTCCACTGATTAAAATGTCTAGTCTTTCTTGCTCCCTTCATAATACATATCTAGCATTGTTTTTATTTAGATGGTAAAATGCAACGAAAATTAAAATCGATTTTAGTAGGAGCTGTCTCAGAACAGGCTATAGAAGAAACTCTGCACTTCTTCCGTTTTGCATGAAATCGCGTTGAAATGTGAAGGTAGATTCAGGAGAAGTTTGCAGCACTGGAGTCTATTTTATTTGTTTTACTTCTAGCACAGCCAATCACCAATGTATTTTTCATTTGGGAAATGTCACTTAAAAATTATGAAATGCATCACTTATTTGGTTTTGTCTTTCTAGATATAAATGTGATACAGATGGTAAACTCTCAGGCATATCTTTTCTTCATCATTGAAGTTTTTAAATGGATTGAACCATGTTTTTTTTTTTATTCAACCTGTTTTGAAAATCTGGTGCCAATAAGAAGGCTATATCTCGAAGTATGCCGCTGACAATCAGCTGAAGAGTGTCCCTTCAAGTGGAATTGTGTTACAAACAGCTGCTGCCTTTCAACTCATGTGCAAGACATGTGGCTCTGGTTTATGTGTTGTAGTTTACATTTATATTCTATCTTTTTCTCATCTTTTTATTTATCGTTACTTGTTGTTTTCAGTACTGCCACAACATTAACTCTGCTTCTTTTCACCTCGTAGATATAGGTCATTCAAATTCATTCACATGTGGGCCAATCATTATGTCTATTGCATGGTCAATTCTCTTTCTAAGTCAATCTCATTATTATTTTTTCTTGTAATTCTATGAAGTATTAATTGTATACTATTTCTCTACATATACACATATCTATACATATATATATCTCTCTCTCTCTCCCTCTTCAATAATGCGAAAAGGTTTGTACCTTCTACATGATGATAGTCCATTTGTTTTTCTTTAATTTTTCATGTTTTTGTCATTTGTTTTTATTTCATTCTATGCCATTTTCATTCCAATAACGTCTTCTTTTCACTTTCCTCGTTTTCAATTTAGCTTGACCTATAGAGGCTACCATATTCTATGTTTTTCTCTCGTTAAAGAGATTTACCAGTATTTGTAGACACTAAATTTCTCGACTCTTTCGGAAAATTTGTGGGCAAAGACGCCCAGCCTTGACTTTCATTTAAACTTTAGTGTTCCTGTAAATATCTTTTAACTGCTCAGACTCATTGTAGATGTAGCTCTTTGCATTCTATGTGCTGTACAATTTCACTGCCAGGGAAAAACATTATGAGAGTTCTCCGTTTTCTGGATTAACTTTTGCCAGAGTATTGAAGTAGCATTTTTTCAGATTGCCTTTCCTTTCTCAGTCATCATTCCTTTTCTTGCCCATTCTCAGATTCACATTCTAGATTCATTTTTCTTCATTTTTCATTTCATCAACCCAGAGCCGTTGTCTTGAAAACATTTCAAGTTAATTCAACTCTTGTCTCATAGGCAGAATGTTTTCCTTGTAAAAATGTCTGAAGGAAAGCCTTTTTATACTCAGTATCACTTCCATTGTCTTTTTTCTACCAATAACCTTGATTAGAACTACAGTATGTACACTATAGGTGTGAACAAGTTGGTGATGTTTAGTTTCAGCTTATTAGTTTTTTTAGCTTGTTTCATTTGGGTGAAATAATAATAATTATGTAGTCGGTGTTTACTTTACTGGCCTGTATGAGAGCTGTTGATCTGCTAATAATGGTTTGAAATTCATAACATTTTTGAGAACACCAGCATTTTGTGATCTGCTGCAACCGGTGTTTCTTATATCTTATTCATCTTACATCAAACCTGTTAGCCTGTCAATAGCAGTCAAATACATCCATAAAACAATTTTTTTCTGTAGTTCGCATTAATTATTTTTTTCTTTAAATTACAGTAGGTGGCTTAGCTTGAAAGCATAGGCAGTTAGATATTTGAATTTACATACAGCTGAGGCACCTATTGGCACCCTTTTTGGCATATCCCAGTCATGTACATGAAGCACAACTAATAATTATGAAACAGCACCCTTGTATAACAATACTTTTCCTGTCTGGAGGGAGGGTGGGTCAGTTGAAACTGGTACAGTTGGTTACGCCATGAAAAAAAGATCTCTGCACCTTTCCATGCACTTTAGCTAACATCTAATTTTTGATGTGCCTGTAATAAATGACCAATACTTCATTTTTTTCAAGAGATTCTTTTCAAAAGTCATTCATATGCTATATTCTATTTGCTAAACTATGTAAAACAATGCATATTATACGTTGTCACATGTGACAATCTAATCTGTAAGGTGTAGAGGTCTTGACCAAAATGATATAATTTTCTACAAATGTGTGTTATTTTGTGATTTGTTTCTTCGGTACTGCTCCCACTACCACTACTACTACCACTACCACTCTTCAATAACAGAGGATAAAGTTAAGGGTGGCGTAGACCGGAGTTCGACCGTAATTGCTAAAGAGCCAGAAGGTAAATCTCACCTGTTATCATATATATCTTTGGTTCATTTTTTGCTTCTCACCTTTCCTACCCAGAGTCTGTTCATTTCAAATATTTTCCTCTCTTTGCTTCCACCTATCATTTATTTTATCAATCCCATTACTTAAAAAACACATGAATGTACACTGTACTCGCTTAGACAATGAACCATTCATTTATTATTTTTGAAGTCAACATTTTATAAAAACATAGTAGGTTAAAAAAAAATCAAAAAAAGAAGTTAACTTTGAGTCATTTTCCTATAATGTCAAATTTGAAGAAAACTCATTGTTGCAAATTCTTTGTTCACTTTCAGTAAAATTTCAGTCCTCACTTTACTTCCTTGCTCTCACTTTACTCATTTTTCCTGTCCATGTACTATTTTGGTGACATTCTGTGCTCATTGCTGTCTGATTATTTACTTGTGAACTCTTGCACAACTATAATTTGTTTCTTACACATTTCCATTTTTCCTCTTCTCTGCAGTTTAAAAAGCAACACCATTATAGTTTTCTTTTCGCATTAGAGAAGTTCTTATTTGTAACACCACACACTTTGCCTGTAATTTTACAGGCATTACCCATTGTGAATTACTAGCTGGTTTGAATTTCAGACCTGGCTTTAAGTACAAAATCACAGTATTACTCTGGGACGTTTTATTTTGCAAGGATGCTGATATTACATTATTACATTTTATTTTCGCATAGAATCTTCATTTAATTTCTCTCTAGAGCTAGGAGATTTATGTCGGATTTTGAGAGACAAATGCCAAAGTCAACATTTTGTGTTGTTGGTGTTGTCTTCTTTGTAGATGTTTTCCACTTGATTCAAACTTAAATGTAGGCATGAGAAAACTCTGAAAAATGTTATGAACGGACTTTTGTTTATTTTGTTTGACTTTGTGATAAGTGAAACATAGGCAAGCTACGTTTGAGTGCAGCTCTAGAATTCAATGATAGCTTTGACAATACCCATTGTAATGATAGTTTTGCCACAATAATCTTCTGTGCAGTGTACACTTTTTTTCAAAATAATTTAAATTATTTCTGGGAAAGGCTGTATATGTCACTCCCATTCCCAAACTGAGTTTGAGAATAGACAACTCTGATTTAGTGCCAACGGTAGAGTGGTGGCAGTGGCTGGAGCAAACAAAGTGATGTGTTAGGATGCGTCACACACACCGCCAATAACCTGACAAACTGTAAATCTGATGCAACCATGCAGGTTCAACTCCTGGCGGAAGCACACCACCCCAGTCTCCTGCCAGTAGCAAAGTGGGTGGCCCAGTCCCAGGCTGTCCAGGCCCCAGTGCTGCAAGTGGGGCCCCCAGTGGGGCTGCCAAGAGTTCAGGGCTGACTTTGGGGCCGTTGGTGATTCAGGGCGTACAAGGTGTGGCGTCGGCGCTGTACGTTGTGTGTGTGACGTGTGTGGCACGAGTACGAGGGTGGTTTGGAACATTGCGTGGCCTGTTTGTGTGGAGTGGTTTGGCGTGTCAACGTGTGACCGGCAATGACCCCAGGCAATGACTTTTGTCTACTAACTTTTTGAGCATAGCATATAGCCTTTTGTGATCTACTGGTGACACACTGAGAATGAAATGACTGAATTATTATAAGGTATGGAACATTGGTTTTGTAGTGACATAAAGTACAAGAATGACCATTACATTGCAAGCTTGTCACAGTTCACAGAGTACAACTAAAACACCCTTTCTAGTTAGTTATAAAATCTCCTGAACAACATTGTTGATTATTGTTAATGCAATACTCCTGGTATGAAGATCATGAACAAATACTCACAACTTCCCTATTGTGCCAATTTAGAAATATTTCTCATCAGGTGTATTCATTTATTCTTTCAATATATACCTTCAAAGTTTCTTACTATTTGCTAATAACTGTGCCATTATCAATCCAGTGTTTGAAACAATCTTGTTGAGCTTTGGAAGTCAGTGGCCATGCAATTTTTTGATCTTGATATATTTTTGGTTCTAGTCCCTTGTTTTCATGTGGTCTACTTATTCTAGAATACGTAGTGATTGTTAGTCACATGAGGAGTTATGCACTATGGAAGTTATTAATTGTGATGTGAAAAATTGCTAGCAGTATTGGTCATTTCAGTTAAAATAATAGCCAACTCAAACTCTTGTTATGATAACATAAAAGAGTGACTCAGACAAACTCATTAAATAGAACACTATCTGCATTTGAGGTCTAAAGAATATATGCTACCAGAATCTTGCTATATACTTTTCACTTTCCCTGTGGGTCATTTTCAATGCTTATGGAAACTTGAACACTGACATGGTCATGTCATTGTTCACATTCGACCCGTTCAAACAAGATAACCTTCTTGCCCTCACACAAATACCTTACATAGACGTTAGGCATCTATAGGAAACGGCTTCATACAAGTTCACATAGCTCCAAAGATGTACCAACAGTTTTATGGGTATGTATAATTCTTCCATTTGCGTAGATGGGCAAGTCGAAAAAAGCCAATCGATTATTCACGGTTGTCTTTCTTGTTTCTTTAATTTGCAATAGTGTACTATTTGTAAATTACTTGATTAAAGGGCTAAGAAAGAACAAGAAAAAGCAAGCAGCAAAGCCAGAATGATTTCTTACCCTAGACTGAATCCATTTTATTTTTAGTTTCAGTAGAGAGGGGACTCATATTTTAAGTGCCTAGAAAACAATATTTATCCTCACCACCACCTATTTTGCCCTCCTTCTCCTCTGTTTTCCCTATAGATCAATGCCCTCCCTCATCCTCCTTCCGCCTCTCTCCTGTAATGTTGATTATTCAATGGGTTTTACTGAAAGACAAAGTGACTGCTTGGCTATCGCATGAAGCTAGCACTTGGAGAAGCAATAAGGAAGCTTTATCAATGCTCTTGCTCTGAGATCTTTGCCTAACAGCAGCACCGATTTTATTTATGCTGAATAGTGCTGTGTGATATGTAACTACTCACTTGTGCTTTGTTTATTTCTTTTTGTCATTTTCTCCTGTTTGTGTCCTTGATGCACTGTGAACATGAACATCAAATTTATTTGATGTCTTCTGTACCTTTTCCTCAAACTATTCTCTAGTTCACTGTTTTCTTTCTCACTCTCTTTGCGTGTTCAGGCCTCCTTCTCAAACAACAGACCATTATCTGCAAGAGAGAATCTCCCCTGAAATTGAACACCAATTATGTTAGTTGTGGTGATAGTGATTCATCCGGTAAGGCCGGTATGGTATATTTTGCCTTAATTAAGAAATTGAAATAAAGTATCTTGAATTTGATTAACTTTGCCCACCTAAACTTGAGGAGACGCAATTTTTCATCAAAGTAAATTTGGTTTTATAAATTGGTTTTTCCCCCTTTTTTTCCTGACAATTTCAAAAAATTTAACTCTTTTTAAAGGAAGCTGAAACTTTGGTTGCTACTTATGATTTGATGCTTGTCACTGTTATTTTTTCTTTTGTTTGGTGCTGTGTGCATGTGCTTGCCATTTTACTTGGCATACTTGGTGCGTGCTTGCTTGTCTCAGAAGACCCGGAGAATTCACTTTACATCCCCCTAACTGGAGACTCGGATGAAGCTGATGGTAAGCTTACTATCCTCTGATTGTATAAATCCTTCTAGGTTCCCTATCCAACATACCCTACTGTAAACACCTGTTCCTTGAGCAAATAAAAAAAAAACTGTCCTTCTAGGTTGTTTTTTTTCTGTGAATTAGCTAACATACTGCTCAGGTAGGATCATACTAAACTGTCAAAGTTTTGCTGAAACACACATGTCCTTTCATAGCCTCTCAACACACCACTGTACATACCTTTTACTTCAACGGAAATTTTATATCAGCATCCTTCACTTAAAAGGTTTCAGAGTACTGTGTAACTGTACAATGTATATCTGTATATGTATTCTAAATCAATATTCACTCCAAGCCTGTTTTTTTTTGTTTTTTTTTCTCTTGTTTTTGTTTAAACAGTTCTTGTTGGTAAACTTTGGTCTCAGATTCAGAATCTTGCCTTGTGTTTTCAAACACAATTTAAAACCAAATACAAAGGAACTGTGTGCATAAGTGTATGTCTTCCTGCTTATATACGCTCAGTTACTATGGATGAGTGTTGATGCAACACACATTTCATGCTTGCATTTCCCTCCTCCAGGGAGACATGAAGAACACACTGATCAAAGTTGTTTCCAAAAACTATTTTAGTGTGTTTCAAGCAAGTGTGCATCCATAGAACTGTCATACGAGAACAATTCGTCTTCTATCCTCTTTGCTTAAATTGTCCTTTTTATTCTTAGCTCATTGTTTATTGCACCACGTTTTTCAATACAGTAAAACCCTGTTGTATAGAAATCCCTCAGGCAATGTAGGTTTTCCTTGTTGTCTGTGTGTAACTTTGTGACCTACACCTCCCCCCTACAAAAAAGATTATCACAAAACTTTGATTATAGAGCATACATTAAATGTACTGCAATTTTCTTCAAAACTTTCCTATATAACATCGTTTTACTGTCTAATATAAGCTTATTATTTACCAAAATGATGCTTGGTTTTATTCATCTAACTTTTGGTTTGGATTTGTCTCATCTGGTTGATGCATAGAAATAAGGATTGTGTGCCCAAACAAGACATGTTCGCAGCTCTCCACAAGTTCCTATGGCTCAGGTAAGATTGGGAATTAAATGCATTAAATTAATGCTTCCTCACTACTATCTGTTTTTAAAATCTTAATGACTTCAAAAAATTGCCTGCAACCTTCTTATGACTATCTTGCTGTTTCTTTTGTAAGCATTTTTTAAATATGCGTTATTGTTTTGTACAGATTTAGTTTTTTGATTTGCTGCTGTATATGTGCTACATTGGATTGAATGAGCTTCAAAACTTAAACCAGCATGTTTTTGCAACAGTTATTTCCTTTTGCTTGCTTTTCATTTAAATGTTGTGGCAGTTCTATCTGATTTGACTTTTCTTTTCCTTGTTTACTTTTGGTGAGTTGTTTTTGTTGTTGTTCTTTTTGTCCATTGGTTTTTATTTCTGATAACTAACATGATTGTATCATCTCCAATTGTATTCACAGATTGTGACATTTTGAATAAATGCACTAATATGTATCTATCTGAAGACACCTTAAATGGAGCAACAGTGTTAGGCTAGTTTCCTTTTGCACAGGCCAATTGGGATACTACAATCTTGTTATTTTGATTTGCACTACCAATGGCTATGGAAATGTTGATCTGTACTTTGGAGAATAACTTAGAATGGAGAGACCATCTCTCTAGTGAAGGAGTGTAATGTGAGGTCTTAAGCCTGTTGATATGCCAAGAGACTGTTTAGGTGTTTGCACTCTAATTTGCCTATGTCGAACACATGAGAATTTTCCAGCACTCAACCATTTTTGTGGCAGAAAATAACTAAAGCTGATTGATGTTTTTAAGTGCATCAGAAGAGAGGTGTGAAGTAAACATTTCAGGTTGAATAAGGAAGAGATATTGACTGTTTTGTTGCGTGACTTGAAGTGAAGGAAGGGTAGTGGTCTTGAAACAGTTATATTCTTCCACCTAGCTAAGTAGCTTCTCTGTGTGATCTTCAGTACTCTTATATGTTTTGTCTTTTGTTTCCTGTGTCATTATGAATGCTCTTTTTACCCAATAGATACTGTGTTGCAATACGATTTCACTACTTCCATGTCAGTTTAAACAACCACTTTCATTACCCTTCTCTTTGGTGTAGTGAAACATGTGCTCCACATGTTGTGTGATTAGGTTTCCCTCCCCCTATCTTCATTTCTTAAGTTTGCATAATGCATATGACACAGTGGTCTTTCTGTTTTTATCCCTTTCTGAAAGTTAATGTGTGCTTGTTTCAGCTCGTAAGCAAGAGATAATTAAAATGACCGAGCAATTGATTGAAGCTATCAACACAGGAGATTATGAGGCATATACGTAAGGATTAGTTTAATTCTTTGTGAGAATACTGAAAGTTTTTAGTTTTGTTGTTTCATGGGTTTAATATATTCTGTATTTGTTTCAGGAAAATTTGTGATCCCCATCTCACTGCATTTGAACCTGAAGCTCTTGGTAATTTAGTTGAAGGAATGGATTTCCACAAGTTTTACTTTGACAATGGTAACTATATTTAAATTGGGTTTTGTATTGCACATGCTTGTTATTTAAGGTTCTTCTTCTAAGGAATATTTTGTTAACTTTTGAGTTTTAGGTAAAAACTGCAAAGCACTCAATACAACAATCTTGAACCCACACGTACATCTAATGGGAGATGAAGCAGCATGTATTGCTTATGTTCGTCTCACACAGTACATGGACAAGTAAGCTACTCCTATTCAAAAAAGAAAAGTGAAAGTTTCTAAATCTTTGACCCACTTTATTAGGTCTGAATGATGATATGTTAATTTTCATGTAACAGGCAGGGGCAGGCCAGCACCCACCAGTCTGAAGAAACACGTGTCTGGCACAAGCGAGACAACAAGTGGCAGAATGTGCATTTTCATCGGTCAAGTGTGACACCATCATTTGCTATGAAATAGAAGTATTAATGTACCAGTGACACCATGTGCCACTCCATAACTTCTTATTGACACTTCGAACTTTGCTGATATCCAGCCTAAGTGTGTCATGCCAAGAAAAATGCTATATGTTTGTAAAATACTTCCTTGTTGACATGCAGAGGATCTCTTAGGTTGAACAACAATTTTATTAACCTGCTTGTTCACCAGCCTAGTCACTTGACCCACTTGCCATGGACTTTTCAGTATTCTTGTATTGTAGATGTGATGGGTAAATGCTGAACTACCCTCATCTATATCAAAAGCATCTTCTGTTTTTCATAATTTTTCTTGTTTTCTTCTCTTTTATTTCTGTTACATTTGCTGTGTAACTTGTATGTATGATTACCTATTAAAATGTTTGTCAGATTGTGCTGAGCACATTTTGTGTATAATGTAGTTTCATGTTAATTTTTATTGAGGAGGTGTACTTAATGTGGTGTTTGTTATATAAGAAGCCTTTGCTCCTTAGCACCTGTTATAAAACTATGTTTTTGCTTCTGTCACAATGCTATTTCAAAGTACAATTTAATTTGTTGATTTATTATAATTTTTTTTTATACCCTTGTTAGATTATAGCCAGGGGCTGCAACGCGATTTACCATCTCCAATTTGTCTGCCTGAATCAAACATGATTCCTTTGCATCCTTTACAAGGTCTTTAAAAGGCACATAAGCAAAACTTCTTAAATTGTTGCAGATTTTTGTTGGTAGGATTGTTGTAAGTAGTGAAGTATTTCCGCCGTAAACACAACTTTTCATAAACTTCAGCTTTTGAATATAAATATCGAAAAAGAAAAAGACTGAAATGAGAAGTAATGGAGGACATTTTGGGTCAAAAAATGGAGTTGCAGCCTCTGAGAATAGTTAGGATGATCAAATACGTCGGTCATTCAAAGATCAGACTGTACGGCAGTCCCTATTATGCGATAAATGAACACTGTTGTGGGGAGGAAACCAAATTCTCTACTTTCTCAATTGTTAAATATTTCAAGTGTGTGATAAAAACTTTTAAAAAAATGAAAAAAAAAAAACTGATTAAAAAGTAATCATGTACTTTCACTATTTTTTCTCAACTTCACCCTTACAGGGTATGCTAATTCTCCTGACGTGTTCTTGAGATTTCTTGTTTGTTCTCAGATAATGCATGGACCTGAACATTTATCAGGCTGATTTCTATAATAATTGTAGTTGGTTTCCCTGTTTTAAAATTTAAACTTTAATACCACTGTTTCATAAAACTTCTTTTGCCTTTCAATCACCTTAGATATGTAACAGTTTTTACCCATTGCATTAACCTCAGACATAGTTTGATTCATAACATTTTTGTTTCTTTTATTTACATATCTGTTGGTACTTTGTGCCTAAACTCGAGTCAGTGGTAAAAGAACGGTAGTATTTGTCTATGTGATACACTGCATGCCGCAATACTGCATCGAAAGATATGAGAATTGATTGTGAGCATTTCATAGATGATTTTGAAACTTCCTAATTTATCTCCTCTTATTTTCTTAGTTTATTCATGACAACATCTGCTCTTGTCACAATAGTGTTTGTAAGAAAAACTGAGTATTGAACTACCTGTTCGATTTGTAATGAATCTTTTGACTGTGTTTAAGGATCAATGTGAATAATCATGTGACTTAGTGCTGGGTATCATCCCAAGACAAGACACGGCCATTAGTTATGCCATAGTACATGCCGAACTTCCCCAATTGAGCAGTGATACTGTTCAATCAGATTACAATTAGCAATGTTAATTTGACTGATAACTCAATGACTCAAGATAAGTGTATTTTAACGACTGCATGTTATGAATTGCAAAACCTTTGGTTTTGTTGCATTCAGTTCCCACTAGTCGTTAATTTGTCTAATTTCTTTTCCACAGCGATTCTACAATATGTAATAGAGTTTAAAAATTGTAGGTGTCTTTTTCTTATTCGCTAGTACTTACCTCCTCTTTTTATTAAAAAGTCCTGACTAGGAATGTGGAATGTGTCTTAGTTTGTCAGCATAGTGGCTCTCAAAGAGTTGTGTGCAATGTGTGTGTAAGTGGTTATACTCATATTCCCAAATTTTATCTGGTTGTTACCAAAATTGTAACTGTTCTGACAGTGGACAAATTTCTCATTATAAATTAAGCTTGTAAGTTATTGTTCTGTTAAAGACTTCAAGATTTACTTACAAGTTTTAATGTTGTATTATATTGTAAATCAAAACAAAATTACAAATCATTAAATGGTATTGTCCTTACTCGTGTTCTAGAATGTTTAAAAGGATTTTGCTGTGCTATTAAAAATTTAGCAATTTGCTATGAAAAGTTAATCTAAAGCCCTCAAGTTATTTTCTCTCTTGTTCTGTTTTACATGCGGGCTTACGTCCTCAAGGTGTTCCTTTTTGTGAGTTGAGCTTTGTGTGCTAATTGTAAATGGTCCTGCTATTTTTTTTTTTTTTTTTACTTTCATGGATAGTTTTAAATTCTGAAACAGTATCCAAATTAATCCTCAAACTTCATATTGTATTACTCAATGAAATTTTCTGGCTTCTTTACTACAGATATATATTTGTGAATTATTTTAGGTCATAAGCTGTCATATACCAGTCATTGTTTTGTCTGGTTTTTTTTTCGTGTGAGGAACACCACCTTACACCAGCAAATTGGTGTATCATTTGATTTTTTTTGTTTTGTTATGAAAATACTAAAGATACGTCTCTTGTGCTCCATGGGAGGACAGAAGACCCATTCTTGAAGTATCCTCAATAAGTTCCAAAGAGCACAAGCAAAGAGTTTACTTAACCTGAATATTTAACATTCCCTGTGAGACAATTTTGAAATTGGGACAGGATGAATTCATTTTCATGAAATGCTTAAGTAATGCTAAGGAATTCTCAGTGTAAAACTTTAAATTTTCTGTTCTGACAGTACCTTGGACTGTAAAGTTAACAACATCTGCTGTCTGTCTCGATTTTGATTTGGGTGTCACTGGGCAATTGCCTCTTTTCACTACAAGAGGAGCGACAAACTGAGTTTTTATCTCTCAGCACTGTGGCCAATTCATTTCACAATTTGTTGTGTTGCAAAGTTTTGAGAGTAAATAAAGAAAGTTTGCTTTAAGTACCTCCTCTGTATCTGTGATCTCAAATTAGGTACAGTTTAGATTCTTGTTGGTTCCCTTAAATGCGTGTTCATATAAGTATGCATTTGGGAATCATCTTCCTGGTTCCTTTTTCATCCCTAATAATCTTGCGATGGTTGTGAACATAATGATGAATGTTTGGTCTTTAGAACCAGATCCATCTTGATGACATCTTGGGGACAATGCTGTGTTTGGTCCTGTCTTTTGTCTATTTAAAAAGTAATGTAAAGCGCTTATTTTTTAAAAAAAAATTGTTTTTCCTTTTTAATTTTGGCCCCTGGGCTGTTGGAAACCTTCCATGCATTCATGAAATCCAGTCATTGGCCTGCACCAGTGGACTGAAAAATCAAGGTATCCCCCCCCTCAAAACGAACTCTTTTTATGCTTTTTTTCTACTGTAACTCTTTGCTGAAGAAATATACTGTACAATAGTGTCAATGCTTTAAAGAGAAGCTTCAAGGAAACTGGTCTAGTGTTAAAGAGTACTGATAGGGAATAGAACTTGATCGTAACCATGCTAGGTTATGATAATGATGGGTGCAGGCAACGTATTTCATTCATAGATCAATTCAACATCCTATAGAAGTGCTTTACTTCTTGCATTGTTTTGGCGTCCTACTAGCATTATCAAATTTTTGTTATGTTTTGTGACCAACCATTTATGATGTGACTTAACAGAGTGTTTTCATCATTTCATGTCCCTTGCAAATTATCTCCAAAATTGAGGCATACATTTTTGTACAGTCATCAGTAAATAAGGTGAATTCACATGAACATCCCCAAGCTTCAGGCACAAAACCACTTAAACTGTAGTTTTGGAGCTCATTTGAGATGTTATTTCAATATGTAACAAGTTATGTAAAGATTTTCTTTTTATTTTTATCTTGCAAAAGTTTGAATAAATGTTACAATTGTTACCTTTCAAATTTTATCATTTAATATATTTTGATGATTCGCTTTAGAATACTTTCTGAGCTTGAGAGCCGCTGTTTGGTTTCTCTGGCAGCACATAAACTATCAAACGTGCACCTTTTTGCTGTACTTTCCATACAAACATGTGTTCCATCTCTTCTCTGCTAATTTTTGAATATCAGCTTTTTTGTGCATTATGTGCGTAGTTTGTATTCAGCAACAAACTGACCGTCATATTGTTAATTAAGTTATAAACTAAGACATTCATTGTTGCTCTCTTTATCCAGTCACATATATTTTATTTATATCAAAGCAAAAGCCAGTTCTCCAGCTAGCCTATTCCAAACTTCGAATAACTGAAACTTTTTATTTGATTTTTCTTGGTTTAATTTTCTTGGTTTGAATTGCATGAGCTGACCCAGGTTATTGAGATGGATTGGATTGTTTTAGATGTTACACACACTCATGTGGTCGTGTTTGTTGATTTTTTTCCTTTATCTTCCTGATTTTTGGTTGAATGATTGGCTGGCCTAATTGTTAATACAAATATTGAATGAATACACTGTATTTAACGGTGTAAATTTGAATTTTTACTTGCATTTCTGTTTCCCTTTCACATCTACAAAGTAGATTTTCACAATACCTTTCAGGTGCTGACATCAGAATATGTTGCTGAGAGGGTTGGTACCCAACTAAACCAACACTTAAAAGAATGTGTCAGAGTTACAGAGAGCTTTTCTGGCCAGATTCTATCACTATTTTATTTCTTCTCATGGGGACAGAAAAAGCTACCATCACAAGCTGTTTTACTTTCTGCCTTCAAGCATCAGCTTGGTGTCCAAGTCTAAGAAGAGAGTTTCACATTGATTCAGGGTCCTAAAAGGCATGTTTACAGGAATAGCTGTCCTGGTTGATGACCTTCATAGGCCGCTTTCATCCAACAGCTCAACTGGAACAATCCAACTAGCATGTGAATTTTGGAATAAATATCTACATTTTCAAATCTATATTTTTAATCCTTTTGTCACATAAATGGGTACAAAAAGATAATAGCAAACCATTGACCAAATGCAATGAATTCTTTAATAAACAAAGTACAGACTGAATACAACAACTAGAATATTTGCTAAGAAAACAACAAGTCACTTAAAAGGTTTACTTCTCCTGGATACAAATTTATCGGCAACCCCAACGCCAGGTGAATTCAGAGAGGAAAACATTCTTTGTGGAATAACAGTGCTGGCTGAGATTTTCACGATATCAGAGTCACTGTCATCAGAACCATTTTCCTGATTGGAACTATCATCAATAGCCTTCAATGCCTTCAGCAATGCTTCTTTGCGAGAAGATTCCACTTCCTCATCATTGTTCTGTCTTGTTTTCGCCAACTTATCATCCGTTTCAGAAAGTTGCCTTTGAATAGGTGGTTCAACATCAGTCATTAGGTTATCGGTCGATTTACTTTTTGATTTTAGCATTTCCAAATTTCTAGCTTTGTCTTGACTGGAGCTTCTTAAGTCACTTTCTTGCTGGAAATCCGATACTCTGCGAGTCTTCAAATGCTTCATTTCCTCATTGACAGCAGTTTGTTGACTTTTCTTGTTAGACACAAAAGCACCTTCTCCTTGTTGCAGATCCTTCTTATAAGAGGATGAGGATCGATGATCTTGTTTGGATTTGGTATTGGAAACAAATTGTGGGTCACCTTTCAAGGCAAAAGTGGCATTTGCAAGAGCAGCTACATGCTTTGCTGAGGTCAGATCCAAAGATGGTAGTAATGTTGAAACATCTTCAACAAAGTTGCTTTTGTGCGTTGTAGATAGTTCTGATAGCATAGCCACAGCATTTTCATATTCTTTCTCTAAGACGTCATCACACAAACTTCCATTCGAGTAATTGCCATCAGTAATTTTACTATCTATGAGTGAATCAAAATGAATATTGAGGTCAGTTTTACCCTTTTCCACAATACTGCGATGGAATTGGTAAGGATTTGTTGACATTTGCAATGGAAGAGCCCTCTCTCTTGCAATAATTTCATTGGTAGTGTGTTCTGGTGAAGATTCCAAACTGGTAGAAAATTCATTTGTTTTTTCAGAGTTTGTGGTCTGCAAATTTCAAACAAATTTTATCTTTACCTTGTAGTAAGTTAACAGCATTGAATTATTTTGGGGGAAATATAAGGTGCAGTACTAACAGGGCTAGAATCCAGTTGCATGGAACTTGGGTCGGTATTGTTCACAGAACCCTGAGTTACACTATTTTTGGTGACTTTCTTGAATCTTGAATTTTGTGGACTCTTCATCTCCACCAATGTTGCCCGAGAAGATTTTTGTCCTCCAACCAGTCTTTATTTCAAATATAAAGAAAAGGAAGAAATTAATAGCAATAGCAGATGGCAAGCCCAATAATGCCAAAGGTGTCATATTGGACAAACATACCTTGACAAAGATGGTGTCTTCCCAAACCGATCAATTGAGGGAGGTAGAGAACTTCGTTCCCTAAACTAGAAAAAAATTGTCATAGAACTTTCAAAAACACCATAGGTTACAGAAAAATTTGCTTGTCTAGAAGAGAAAAATTCGAACCTGATCCAACTGTGATTGAAGTTGATCTAATCTTGCTAATGTCTGTTGGAGTTCAGACTGTGTTGTTCTGTGTCTCTGCATCTCTTGGTGGAGTTGAAATTTTAAATTTTTACTTTCTAAGAGAACTTTGCGGTTGAGCACCTACAAATAAAAAATTACATTGCAAAATAATATGAAGACACCTATGGATAAATCTAAATTTAACAACAGTGCCTTCAAAATTTCTTTTACCTGGATTGTATTTGATTGGTTTTCTACAGTCAACTTGAGCTCATTTACTTGTTTTGTAAGTGCTTCTCGATCGCCTAAATTCCGATCTTTAGAAAGTTTGAGTAGGTGGGCATGTTGTTCTTTCAGATTTTGAAGTTCTCCCTCACGTTCCTTTAGTGTATTTGTCACACTGCGGCACTGATGTTTTAACTTGAAAAATAAAAAATAAAAAATATCAGTAATAGTTTAAAAAAACAAATCTGAGGAGACTTTTGAATCTTAAAACTCTGTGCAAACACTTACATTTTTGTATTTTGTACGAAGTATTCTAACTTCTTCCTGATGTGATCTCACCAACTGGGGAAGCTGGGCTTGAGTTCCCTCATATCTAACCAAGGCAAGATCCTGACGCTTTTGCAAGGCTCGGAGAAGTCTATTTTCTGTACATAATTCCTAAAATATACAGAAAAAAAATATCTTAGCAAAGAAAAGTAGAGAAAAAATATGGAAGTGACTGTAAGAAACTGTACCACTTACATTGAGCTGAAGATGAGCCTCTGATAGCTGGTTCTGTAATTGCTTAAGTCTGAGCAATTTGGCAGACATGACTCTCTGGGTAAATGAACTGAGATTATCTCTTGAAGCTATATTTAAGTCTAAACGAGAGTGAACAGGATGAGATGATTGGTATGGGTGTTGAACAACTCCTGCAAAATAAGAATTTTGAATTTCAGTCCAAGAATTATAAAAATGCATAGCTCCTGACCAATCTGCATTATATTTGTGCAAACAGGACATTACATGTGAATTTTAGAATGCTGTATGTCTAGGTAGATGATGGCTGAACCGGCACCTTAACATGCATGCCTCAGCAGCAATGATCTGATGACAGATGCATAGCTGAGAAGCCAAAAGAGATGAGAGTAGTTCTGTGAAGAAAAAGTGCCAGTGAAAAACAGAACTATACAAAAGAAAGGATACTATTGGTTTCTTATTTTGCTGGCAAAATTGTAAAGGAAAGGGAATGTGTGCATAAATCAACAAAGAATCTTGTGTAGGGAATTCCTGTGTAGTTGAATGTTAAGCACCTTCAGATGTTTGTGAATTCTAAGTGAACTAATGTGCTGATAAACAAATAGGCAAACCAGCTTGAGATTGAAGAAATCGTTTCTTGGTAAAAACAGAGGTGTTGGCAGCAGCACTGAGACATTTATTTTGTCGGCCAGATTTAGGAAGGTGATGCATTGCTGATGCAATCTGTTTTGTTTCTTTTTCAATGTTGGAGTTTCCCTCAAGCTTTGGGGAAGACTCCATGTTCCCACTACCAAGTCTGCTTTCTACTTTATTAAGTTCCAAAGTCAAACATAAGACAAAATACTATGTTAAGTTAGTAAAATAGGACAGGTACAAAGCTGTTAAAAAATTGGAAGAATTTTTAAGTTTTGAAATTGATTGTGATTGTTACCTGCAGCCAATGATTTCTGAGGCATGTTTTAACTGCGGAGGCGCATTTTATGCGAACCCTTCGATGCACGTGAACAAGTAACCAATTGGTCCGTATCCTTGGGTATGAGCAAGAGTTGTTGATTGTTGTTCACCGTTCCGTGATCCGCTCGGTCGGTTTGGTCAGCTAGCGCAAGGAATGTTGTTTGTCGTCTGCTGGCACCACAGCAACCAAAAGAGAAGGCAGTGATCAACCTAGTTTGGGATTGTTTGAGATGGGTCCGGATGTTTGGGTCTACCGGTGTTTTTTATGTAGCGGTTTCACGCTTCGACCAGCCTCGACACATCTCCACTATACTTCATTTTCATTCAACAACTCCCTTTTCAAATTTTTTTTTATAAAGGTAAACATTTATTTTAATGAAAAAAAAAATAATTGAAACGATACGATTTAACGACGGTACAGTAAACCGTGTTTCAAGGAGAATGATACTGTCGTAGAGATGATATCACAAACATAATCACGTGCCAGGTACGAAAATTGTTCGTCGAATTTCCACTTAAACCGCGACGCAAAGGTGTGTTCCTTTAGTCAGCGCGGTCGCCTTCGCCACCCACTTCGGCCTGCTTCGGCCCACATGCAGCAGTCGCAGCAGTCCTCCCCACCATCGACCGAAGCAGCCCAGCCCCGCCAAGCGCGAAGCAACCCCCACCGAACACCACTCTGACCCACCCCATGGCCTGCCCATGGCCTGCCCATGGCCCGCCTGCCATCCTCCAGCTCTTCCAGCTCCGCCCCACCCTCCCTCTTCCCCCCGCTGTGTGCTGTGCGGCCCTCCTGCAAAGCGCGAAGCGCAAAGCACTGCCTTTGGCACCATTCACAAATGAACTTTCCATTAAAACTTGACGTGTGATATGGGACTCGGGGACTCGAAGCGGTGTGGTTTCACCCTCCCGGGGCAACCTCACGAAATGAATGCAGCATCGCTGGCAACTCTTTCGCTTTGCAGCGGGGAAAGCCAAGTTGCTCGTTTGCCAGGAGAGCGCCGGGTTCCCAGTGTGTGCGCTCTGACTGTGTGGTGTGCGGCCTGCGGGCATCATTCCGAACAATCGTTTTGTCACTCTGTCTCTCTTGCTCCCCCTCGGACCGCCGTATGAATGCGACTGAGATAGAGCGACGAAACGATACTTGGCGTCAATGACGGCGGTCCCCGTGGTCCCCGTCCCCAGACCTGTGCGGGACTCCGGTTCCCGGTCGCCGCTGAGAAGCGCCTGCAGATTGCCGTGGTCTAGCCCTTAATGGTAATGGTAATGGGTGGGCAGTCCCGCGCACACGACGGCACGCCGGGCTGGCCTACGAGTGCAGGCGCTTTCTTTGCCCCGAGAGCGTAGAGCAGAGCAAGCAGAGCAGCCCCGTCATTCCCTTCCCGACAATGTGGACTGATTCCGAGAGTCGTTTTCGTCGCTCTGTCTCTCTCGCACCTATACGAGACGCCCCCGAGAGGGACAGAGCGACGAGAACGACTCTCGGAGTCAGTGTGCTGGTCGCTCTGGGACACGAGGAGGCCCGGGGTTGTGGCCGCCGTTTCGAAATTCGATACGAGAAGTTACAGTGGGCTGCAGCAGGCAGGCAGGCATGGGGCGCACGCCAGCCGCGGCAGCCACGCCACTGGACGGGGGACATTGCACTCGAGCTGCACAGTCCCAGAGCCAAGTGGACGCCGGCCGTGGCCCTTGTCCCTCCCCTTCCCCCTTCACCCACGGCACACGTGTCTGTCCGCCTGGCCGCGCGTCTGCCCGCCTGGCTACGCCTGCCTACGCCTGGCCGGCGCGTAGGCAAGTTGCACAGGATTGCGGACGAAAACTAGACAAAAAGAGAGAGCGGGGATGGAGGCGGAACGGTTGCGAAAACTAGACAAAAAGAGAGAGAGAGAGAGAGAGAGAGAGAGAGAGAGAGAGAGAGAGAGAGAGAGAGAGAGAGAGAGAGAGAGAGAGAGAGAGAGAGAGAGAGAGAGAGCCACAAGCAGGGGAGTACGAGCTGAGAGAGAGGGGAAGGGGGAGGGCGGCGGCGGCGGCGGGTCGTGCTGGGGTGGCGGTGCGGGCGGGCGCATGCGCGGGCGGTCGGGGGCCGGGGCCTGGCCGGGGCGCGCGGAGGGGCGTGTGGAAACAGTGTAGGGTCGCGGGGCCCGGTTCGGCGGTTCGGCCCAACGCGAGTCTAGTGTAGCGTCCGCCTCGACCCCGCGCGCTCCTTCGCCGCACCCGGAGTCTTGCCGCGCGCTCGCGAACCAGACGCACGGCACGGCGCGGCACGGCGCGGCACGGCACGGCCGCCTCAGGTGACACCTGAGCATCGGCGGGGCCGGCAGGGCCGGCAGGACTGCGGCCGGCGGGGCATGGGGGCGTTGCGCGGGGGCTGTGGGCCCCCACGACCCCACGTGCCCGCGTGAAGTGCTCCGGCCATGCGGCGCGGCGTCGGGCGGCGCGCCACCGGAGCGGCTCACGCGCGGTGACCGCTTGAGTGCGCGTGTGTGTGAGAGAGTGCGCGTATGTGTGTGTGAGGATGACGTGAGATGGCCGGTGCTACTCGGCTGGTCCTGGCGCGGGCCGCGCTGGCCTGGGCGCTGGTCTGGGTGCTGCTGGCGTGGACAGAGGCCTTCATGTTGGAGGGGTCGCAACGGTCGTTCGCGCAGTTCCGCAAGTGGAACGCCGGCCTGAACGGCACCCTGGAACTCGAGTTCAAGACGCACTCGCCCAACGGGCTGCTGCTGTACACGGACGACGGCGGCACCTATGACTTCTTCGAGCTGAAGCTGGTGGAGGGCGCGCTGCGGCTGCGCTACAACCTGGGCGGCGGCGCGCAGATCCTGACGGAGGGCCGCGACCTCCACGACGGCCACTGGCACAAGGTGGCCGTGCAGCGCGCCGGCGACACCACGTCGCTCACGGTGGACAACGCCACGCAGACGCTCGCCTCCAGGGGCAAGGAGTTCGAGTTCGGCCGGCTCGAGTCCAACTCGGACGTGTTCATAGGCGGCATGCCCGCCTTCTACAACAACAAGCTCACCATGCTCGCGCTGCCGTCCGTCATCTTCGAGCCGCGCTTCGGCGGCGAGATCCGGAACCTGGTGTACGCCGACGACGAGGGCGGCGTGCCGCGCCGCCAGGAGATCCGAATGAAGGACTTCAAGGTGAGGGGGAGACATAGATCTGTGCGTAGTCCGTAGCCTGATTCCGAGAGTCGCTTTCGTCGCTGCATCTCTCTCGTGCAGGACGTCCGCTGGGTGCAAGAGAGACAGAGCGACAAAACCGACTCTCAGTCTGCACTGTCTGCATGAACAGCCGCAATTTAGTCCACGTCTCGTCCGAGTGACGGGTTCGACGTTCGAATGCAGCGCGTGATGCAGCAGTGCACCATTTAGACGCTAGACGGTACTGTTTGGTTGGCGCTATTACCAGCCCCGCTGCCTGGCTGTGCCTGGCTGTGCCTGGCGCTCCAAGTGCAAGCGGCGGGCTTGCTTGCTTGCCTGCAGCCTGCGCGTGTTTGTTTTGCTATGCATGCCTACCTGCTTCCCCCTTCCCTTCCCCCTCCTCCCGGTCCACCGCCTTACAGATGCATGGACTCCAAACTCCATTTCTCCTTCCCCACCGCGCCGCCACTGGTAAACTTGTTTCGCCGCCACAGTCATGTTTGCTCCGTTTATTGCCTGAGCGTGCCGCGGACCCGCGGGCTCTGTCGCCAAATTGGCGGCGAGGCCGAGAAAGAGGGAGAGGAAGTGGAGTGAGAAAGAGAGAGAGATAGAGGGCGGGGGGACAGAGAGGTGGGAAGGGGGAACGAAAGAGGTGGCCTAATTGCTCTGTGCGTCTCCCACAACTTGGACCTCCCGTTCAGGCAGCGCCGGGCAGCGCCGGGCAGGGCTGCGCAGGGCGGGGCGAGGCGGCCGAGGAAGTTACATTTCTCAGCGGGTTCCGTCGTCCGTACTCCTTGGTCCTGGGCAGGGCCGGGTCGAGCCTGGGTCGGGCTGCCCGCGGCACCAGACGGAAGAAATTCCTCTCCCCCCCTCCCTCTCCCCCCCTCTCTCTCCGTGGCATCCCCTTTTTCGCCTTATTTTCGCGGCTCCTGTCCTTCCGGGGATGATTCAGCACGGGGAGTCCCTGTCCCATGGACTGCCATGGGCGCCATGGGCGTCGAGCAGTGCCCATTCATTTCTCCGCCCCCGCCCCTCCCCCCGGACTTGCCCCTCCCCTCCCCGTGGGCGTTTTGTTTGCGTTCCCACGAGAGCCGGTTTCGGGTTTTGGCGCGGCCGTGGCGCGGCGGAGAGCGAGAGCGGCGGGAGCGGCATAGCGCGGCTCCATACTTTGGAGTCATCGTAGCGAAAAGCAATCGTTGTTGTCGGCTCTCCCGGCTCCCGCGGCTTTCATTTCCATTCTTGCAGGCGGGGCGAGTTGGCGCGCTGGCAGCGTCTCTGTCTCACAGTCGGGTGCGCGCGGCGCGGCGCGGCCCGCCCAGTAGCTCCCAGCAGCCCAGGCTGCGCGCTGCGCCTCAGGCTGTTATGCCGAGAACAAAGCCACCGCGGTCAAGTCGTTTTGCAGCGGAATGCCAACACGCCAACGCCGCCAACAGCAGACTGATTCCGAGAGTCGTTTTCGTCGCTCTGTCTCTGTCGCACTCGTGGGGCGCCCCGCGTTGGTGCGAGAGAGAGAGAGGGGGGGGGGGGGGTGACTCTCGGAATCAGTCTGCAGGGGCGGCGACGACGTGCCGGGGAAGGACTTCCGGGCGGTGCAGTGCCCTGGCAGTGCCCCGGGTGTGTATGGCGGCCGGTGTTGTGCCGCCCTGCCCTGTCCGCCTAAGCCCCGTTGGAATAATCGTTTGGTCGCTCTGTCTCGCTTGCACCCCTGCGCCGTGAGCGCGACAGAGGCCGAGCGACGAGGCGCCTTTTCCGGAGTCAGTCCGCTGGGTGCTCCGGGGATCATCCGCGTGAAATGGAAGGGGGTGGGGATGCGGCCCGGAAGCACCGTGTCCGCCAGGTCGGCCAGCGCTGCGAACCCACCTCGCCGCCTCGCCGCCCCGCCGCCCGGCCCGTGCTGGTCAACGCTGGACCTGCCCGGCCGGGCGGCCAGTTCCATAAGTAAAGGCAATCCAACTGAATCCAAACTGAATCATTAATTCGCCTAAGCGTTCCCTCTGCCATCTCCACTCTTCCGCTTCTCGGCGGCTGGACTCGGTTGGGTGGCCTGCGTCCCAGCGGACTGACGCCACACAGTGAGCCAGAAGGCCGGTGGAGGCGGCCAAAAGTCTGGACGCGTTTTGAGCTCCAGAGTCGCTTAGGAGGACTCGAACGCAGCGTGTGACCCCACCAATGGATTCCTCGTTCGGAGAGCCATCCAGTGGTGGGGGTCACACGCTCGGTTTGAGTCCCAGTTTGCAACTGTGTAGCAGCTACATAGTTGCAAACTGGGACTCGAACCGAGCGTATTGGCTCAAAGTTGAGCAAAACGGTCAAAAACGCCTTTGAAAAATCGTGTTTTGGGCCGACTTTAAGCAGTCACTGCGTCCTATCCGAGGCGGGCCTTCGTACTTTCTCAACGGGCATTTCGTCTTTGGACCTTCCTTTAGCATGCCTTTGTTACGGAGTGCGATTATCCTCCTTAGTTTGGGTGCAGTATTGGCTCAAAATTGATCAAAACAGTCAAAAATGCCTTTGAAAAATCGTGTTTTGGGCCAACTTTAGGCAGCCACTGCGTCTGATCCGAGGCGGGCCTTCGTACTTTCTCAACGGGCATTTCGTCTTTGGACCTTCCTTTAGCATGCCTTTGTTACGGAGTGCGATTATCTGCCTTAGTTTGGGTGCAGTATTTTCTCAAAGTTGAGCAAAACCGACTTTAAAGGCATTTTTGACCGTTTTCATCAATTTTGAGCCAATAATGCTCCCAAACTAAGGCAGATAATCACTCTCCGTAACTAAGGCATGCTAAAAGAAGGTCCAAGGAGCAAATGCCCGTTGATAAAGTAAGAAGGCCCGCTTCGGATCAGACGCAGAGGCTGCTTAAAGTCGGCCGAAAACACGATTTTTCCTGTGGGTCGCGGAAATACTATTTGGCTACAAATTTGGGGTCGCGAGCCGAAAAAGGTTGAGTACCGCTGGTGTAGCTCAAAACGCGTCGCCCTGTCTCTGTCTCACCGGACTGAATGAGTGCACGAGACGGAGTCTCGAAAGCGACGCGCGGAATGGCTCGGCGGGGGCAGTACAGGGTTTGGCCGGTCGCCCTTCTATGGGTCTGGCGGGGCTCGGCGGGGCTCGGCCGCCGGGGCTCCAGCTCTCAAAAGGTCACGCGGGTCAGTCCGTGCGTCCTGCCGTCCTGGCGGCAGTCCTGCCGGCAGTCCTGCTCGCCGCTCGTCCGGCCAGGACACGCCTTTCAAAGGGAGAGTCCTAATACCCAACCGCCAAGTGCACAAAGCAGGGAGCAATTTGGGCAGAGTGTATGCTGCCATGCTGGACGCTGTATGAGGGCCCCACCCTCTGTTTCTCTCGTGCTCACGGGGCGTCCCGCGGGGGTGCGAGAGAGACAGAGTGACGAAGCACTGTTCGGAATCTGCCTTCTTCCCGATTCCCGATTCCCGGGTCATTTCCACATGGCGCGGTGCGGCGAGACCGAAGGACCGAAGCCGTCGGGGCCATTTCCAAAGTTCTGCGCAGCGCAGGTGATCCCACCCATAAAAGTTTATTGCATTCCGTCCGAAAGTTTGGCGGTCACAGCGTCACACAGGTCCGCGCCGGCCGCTGCCCCTAGGAGGTGGCCGATGTGGCCGCCCTCAATCAGGCCCTGGCCGCCCCCGTCGGCCGCCCGGTATTAAGCCAGATTAGACGGCGGGCAACGCGGCAGCGCGGCGGGGAGTTCTTCACGGCGCGGGAAAAAGGGCGACGGGCGAGAGACGGACGAGCGGCAAGGGCGAGACTCCGGGATCGCAGTGGAGCGGCGAAGCGGCGAATAGAGTAGAGTAGAGCCCCCGGGGTGCGGGTCTCAGCGAGCCAGTCTCGGCGCGCGCAGCAGCACAGCGCCGGAGCCAGCTCCACGAACCTGTCTCAGCCCTGGCAGTCCTGGAAGGGAATGAAGAACAAGGGGAAAGGTGACGGCTGAGGGGCGTAGTGTGGGGCGCAGTGTGGGGCGCAGTGTGGGGCGTGGTGGTTCTGCGCTACACTGCGTTGGCAGCCTTGCTCGAGTTCTTGCTGCGGTGCACGCCGCAAGGCGGCAGGCTCGTTCCAAACAGCCTCTGTCGCACTTGTGCGGCTCCCAGTGGAGGCGCGAGAGAGACAGAGCGGCACAGCCTGGCACAGCCTGCAGCGCAGTGCCACCGCCACCCCGGCCTAATTATGCCGTGAGGCTGTGCACACACCACTGCCAGGCTGCCAGGCTGCAGCAGGCGGGCCGCCCGAGCTGGCGACCACAGCTGCGGCGCTGTACAAGATGTACAAGATGTCACCCCGCCCTTCCCCAAGCCGCCGGCAAGCCGCCCCTCTTCGACTATCGCACGTCGCACGCGTGCCGCGCTCTGCTCCGTGCTGTATCGCGCCTTGCCCCGCGCCGCCCCGCCCCGCCCCGCGCGCTGCTGCACCAAGGCGAAGAAAAGAGGGGAGATAAAAAGAAAGGGCGGCCCAGAGGAATAAAAAGATATGCAGCGGAAAAGGTAGAGGGAAAATGCCACGGTCTGAATGGCGGGTCTCGGTGTCTTGGCCGTGGGGCCGTGGGGCCTGGTGTCCCGCCTGGCGCCCCGCCTGGTCTCGCCGCCGGGTCGTCTGTCGTCTGCTTGCCTTCCTCACAGCGGAGATGACAGCTCCACCCTGCAGCCCAGGCCCGACCCGGCCAGTTCCGGATGAAGATGCAGCGTTTGCCGCGTGTAAGGTCTTAGAGCCAGGCAGGCAGGCAGGCAGGCAGGCAGGCAGGCGGGCAGGCGGGCAGGCAGGCAGGCAGGCAGGCAGGCGGGCAGGCAGGCATAGAGAGCCTCTATTTGTGAGAGAGGTGCCAATGTCACGTGACCTCTCCCACCACGACTCTCCGCCGCGCTCTGATTGGTCGAAACCCACTTTTCTGGCGGCAGAGCTCAGTAACGCGGGAAAATGTAATGCTGTCAAGTTAAAAGCGAGGAGTCAGGTGGGTTATTAATTACTCAAATGGGCTGAGCGATGTATTTTAGTAAGCAAAGCAAATTTCAGACTAATTAATACAGGAAAACCCCGAATAGAAGAGTAGATGCCACTGTGTTTCACGGGAAAGACGTGAGGTATGTTGGTTACAAGATTATTTGTAAAATAGCGTTAGTTTCAGAGCAAGTTGATATTTTCTTGGATTTGCAAACCAGTAGAGTAATCTCACACACACAAACACTTGACGACTTCTTTTTTTAAAATTAAGTATAAAAATCCCGAAGTGGACTAGGCTCTCGGTCTTTGGCAGCGCTACAGACGCGAGTTCAGGCTCGGCTCGCTACGGCTCGGGGATCGGTTGGGTTGGAACCAATCAGAAGGCGTATAGGTCACGTGACATTGGCACCTCTCTTTCAAAATAGAGGCTCTAGGCAGGCAGGCAGGCGGCAGGCAGGCAGCAGGCGGCAGGCGGGCAGGCGGCAGCCAGGCAGCAGTCGCGGCAGGCAGCAGGCAGGCAGGCAGTGCAGGCAGGCAGGCAGCAGGCTTGCAGGCAGGCGGTAGGCAGGCAGGCAGGCGGGCAGGCGGGCAGGCAGGCGGGCAGGCGGGCAGGCAGGCAGGCAGGCAGGCAGGCAGGCAGGCAGACAGGCAGGCAGGCGGGCTGCAGCGGAGACCCGGAAGGCCTGGAAATAGGAACGGGAAGGGTAGCGCGCGGCGAGGCCATGGTCGCTAGGGCCGCCAGCAGACTGATTCCGAGAGTCCTTTTCGTCGCTCTGTCTCTCTCGCACTCATGGGGCGTCCCCTATAGGTGCGAGAGAGACAGAGCGACGCGAAAACGACTCTCGGAATCAGTCTGCAGGGCTGTCAAGCGGCAGCGCAAATAATTCCCCCTCCTCGCCTACACATTTACTTGACTAACGGTTCGTTTTTCTGGCCGCGGAACGGGGGCCGGGAACGGGAGCGGGGATGGGTGGGAAGAAGGAGAACTGGCCTGCTGCCTGGACGGAGACCCTAGTCTCTTTGAGGCTCTTCTGATTGCTGGGGTGGAAGGGGGTCGCGCGGGGGCGGGGGCAGGGCGGGGGGCTGACTGCTTTCTGTGTAAGCCGAGTGGGGGCTGCAGGGCTGCAGGGCCGTGCCAGGGCTGCCTCCGCACACGCTCATTACCGGTCAACAAGGGCAGAGCGAGCGCTCGGGGCAGACCAGGCAGCCCAGGCCAAGGGCCGCCAGGGCAGCGTCGACGCGGTGCTCAAGTTGACGGCGCGGTCGACTCGGACGCGTCCCGGAGCACACAGCTCGAGCAAGGGGCGACGGGGAGGGCTGCGCCCAGGCCGCGCCCCGGACTCCCCGTATTTATCCCGTCCGTGCTGCTTTGCAGTGCTTTGCCGCTCCGATCTGTCCATAACGAGGGCCCCGAACGGGGACGCGGGGACGCGGGGGCGCCGGGGCGTGGATCAAGCCTTTTGCACTTGTGCGGCCCAGAGTCGTCGTGTCGTCGCTCTGTCTCCCTCGCACCCCACGAGTGCGACGAAGGCGGCGCGTCGAAACGACTCTTCGCCGAAGAGGGAGAGCGAGGGTGAGGGGGTGCCGCACAGTGGGCCAGAAGACCGGTGGAGGCGGCCAAAATTCTAGACGCGTTTTGAGCTCCAGAGTCGCGAAATGGGACTCGAACCGACCTTGTGACCCCACCAATGGATTCCTCGTTTGGAGAGCAATCCATTGGTGGGGTCACACGTCCAGTTCGAGTCCCATTTACCGAGTCTGGAGCTCAAAACGCGTCTAGAATTTTGGCCGCCTCCACCGGTCTTCTGGCCCACTGTGTGCCGTGTCGCCAAGGCAGGGCCTCGCAGGGATGCCTTTTGAATTTGGCGCCACTTGTCGCGACTTGGCGCAGCGCGGCGCGCGGCCGCTGCAGTGGCGCCGCAAAAAACGCGCCAACGCCACAAAAACCTCCCCTTTCTTGTACGGGTTTGCGCGCCGCGCCGCGCGCTGCAGAGTCTGGCAGAGGCGGAGGCGGGGATATTGTTTAACACGAGGGCGTCTTTTCACGGCGCTGCGGTGTAAATGCTGTTTGCATAAATTTGCACTTCCCTACGTCTTCCTCAGCGTCGGCTGGGCCGTGCTGCAGCCTCCCTCGCAGCAGCGGCCGCGGCGTCGTTAACGCTCTCTCAACGGGAGACTCGTATTTCATTCCGTTTCGTTGAACTCTGTTGGTTACCGTTGAGTGGAATTGGCCACGGCTACAATCCCAGTGTAGTAGCACGCTCTGCGAGCCCGGACCCGGTGTTGGCACACCACGATAGCGGTTCTCAGCTTAGTTGTAGGATCACTGTAGTACGGTTGCGTGCTGGTAGGCCTTGGCCGGCCTCGGCCGCGAGCTCCGGCGCCAGGCTTCGCTCTCTCTCTTCATCGCCCCCGCGCACTGTCTCTCTCCCTCCGCCGGGCGACGCGGGCCGCGCGGTGTGTTTGCACTGTCGTTACCATTCGTTAGAACTCCAAACACGATGCGATGTGCCAATCTCGATGCAGGGGCCGCGAAGAAAAAACGGGACAGGCCACTGCTGTAGTCTTGTTGGCTTTCTTTAGTCTCGCTGTTGTTTAGTTGTGTGTAGACGGGACTTGCTATTGCCCCCTTCTTCATCTTAATTTCCTCGACTTCTCTCTCTCTTTCTCTTTGCGAACTCGATTTCGTTTCACTCTAGAGCTGGAATGAGTAAACAATTACTGTCATGGGCAGGGTGCGGGGAAAATGCAGTTATTGCATTTCACGCCCCGGGAGGTGGTCCGCTGCGTTTTGTTGCCGCCAGCGAGCCGAGCGAGGCGCGAAGGCTTGGAGGGGCGTCGGGGCGGGGCGGACGGGGAGGGGTAGGGTGGCCCCCCGGGGGGTGGGGCCGGAGAGGTAGGGCCCCACCACACGCCCACTGGAAGCCCTGGCAGCAGAGCGCGGCACAGGCCCTGTGGCGGCAGAGGTCTGTGCAAGCGGGCACAGGCCGGCGTGCCCAAAGGAGTAAAGGCCCCCAGGAGTGCCTGGGGCCGAGGCCTAAGGATGAGGACTAAAGACAGAGGCTTCATACAGAGGCTTAAGACAGGTCTAAGACAGAGGCCTGACAGAAGCCTAAGAGAGAGGCCTAGAAGCCCCAAACGCATGAAGACCCGGAACGTGAACCACACGCACCGACCGGCCCACACTAACTGCTTGCTTCTCACGTATCGCTTCCGTTTTAAACTTAGCTTATTATTTGAGCATTACCCGGGGCCCGACGTGAGGCGTCCCGGGTCTGCACACGTTTTACTAGCGATGTTCCACGCGAGCCTAGTTTTGTGTCGCTCGCCGTAAATCACGCGGGCTAAAGTATTTTTTTTGACACTGTACTACTATCTAAACACGCTTTATCATCACACTTGTATTGTGTTGTGTTACACAGCGCTGCCAGAGCATCCAGTGAGAGTGTGTGGGGCCCTTTTTGTTGCAGTGTACCGGCATGCACTGCGGTGGTAGCCACGGCGGCAGCCACGGCGCTAGCCACGGCGGTAGCCACAGCGTAGGGCACGGTTTGGGCCACAGTCACTCGACCCAGGCCTCGACGCAAGCCCTGCACAGGAGCCCCTACGGCGCGTCCTTCCCAAGCCCTTCGCACAGCCAGCACAGGAGGGTGAGTGCAAACACGCAGGACGCAACAGTGTGAACAGCAGTATTACGTGCAATTATTGTGTTGGCGCGTATGTGGCGCCCGCCCCCACGGCCGCTACCGCCGCCCCCACCCCAACCGCCCATTCATTACTGCAGGCTGACCAGCGGACTGATTATGAGAGTTGTTTCCACAGTGTCATCCGTGGCGTCCATATTACAACGTGTTATTATCTCGCTACGCTTGAAGAAGGGCGTCAGGATGTGTGTGCCTGGAGCGCGTCGCTCTGCGCCCTGGTTTCTGGTTCTCCCTCGGGTTTTCCCAGTGAGCTTGTCGCCGGCGGCCACCGCTGTGTTCACTGCCGAGTGATTCCGAGAGCCGTTTTCGTCGCCGTGTCTCTCTCGCACTCACGGGTCGTCCCGTATGCGTGCGAGAGAGTCAGAGCGACGACAACGACTCTCGGAATCAGTCTGCTGTGCTGCTGTGCGTCAAAGGGCGCAGGATGCTGCGAGCCAACTGGCAGTCCTTCCCGGTCCCCGTCCCGGTCCCCGTTCCGACGGCAGCGGCAAACAGCAGTCAAAGGAGTCGCTATTTACTGTGCCGAGGACAAGGGCTGGCCGACCCTGGACCCTGCGCTCGTTCAAACACGTTGTTAGCGGCTCAAACTGTTTACGCGCCTCGGAGGCCGCGTCACGCTAGCGCGCGCTAGCGGAAGCAGACGGCAGGAGTAAATGACAAGTCTGGCGAATTCCAGTTCAAAATTTTCGGCGGTTCTTTCCGGTTCCGCTCGCTGCGCTCCGCGCCGTCCGCGCCACTGTGATGGCCGATGGCTGCCGATGGCTGGCTGCAGGGGATGGCCCAGAGAGAGTGCGGCCCCCGCAGCCCCTCTTACATTGGCGGGGCCATCTCGAGTGATTGTCTGACCAATCTTATTCAACCCCAATGGGGCCGCGCTGCTGCCGAGGAGGACTGGGGCCGCGCTGGGGGCGGCACTGGGGCCCTCGGAAGCCGCCCCGCCCCGCCCCGCCCCGCCCCGCCCCGCCCCGCCCCGCCCCGCCCCGCCCCGCCCCGCCCCGCCCGGCGCGGACTCTTAATGGGGGCAAACAAGTTAGTCGGCTGCAGATGGGCGCGGGCCCGGAGCTGCCCGGAGCTGCCCGGAGCTCAGCTGGAGCCTTCTCCAGCCTGGAGGCCGGGAGGGTAGGCAAAGCAGCCCAGCGATTCAGGAGAGTCGCTCCGTCGCTCCGTCTCTGTCGCACTCACGGGACACTCCGTTGGGCTGCGAGAGAGACAGCGGGGACCAACTGCTCTTCTCGGCAGGCAAGGCAGTGAGCGCAGAGAGGCCGTCGGATTGCCTACCCTCGGCTCGGCGGGCGGCGGCAGGGTGCGGCGGCAGCGCACAGTGGGCCAGAAGACCGGTGGAGGCGGCCAAAACTCTAGACGCGTTTTGAGCTCCAGAGTCGTTAAGCAGGACTCGAACCGAACGTGTGACCCCACCAATGGATTGCTCTCCGAACGAGGAATCCAAAGATGGGGTCACACGTTCGGTTCGAGTCCCATTTAGCGACTCTGGAGCTCAAAACGCGTCTAGAGTTTTGGCCGCCTCCACCGGTCTTCTGGCCCACTGTGCAGGGCCTCCCTCTAGGCCTCGGCCAGCGTAGCAAGCGTAGCAGTGGCGACGGGACGGGAACGGGACAGTCTCGGGGAGCAACGGCCGCATCGCATCGCATCGCGGTCGCACGCCACCCCTCCCCTCCACTGCAAGGGGCCGAGCCGAGCGGCGAAGCAGCGAGGCGCGAAGCAGCGAGGCGGCGGCTCTCCGCTGGGCGCGCTGTCAAACACGGAGGGGTGGGGCGGGGAGGCCGAGGACGGCGTTGGCAGGCGTCCTGACGGGAAACGGCCCCCGCTCGCCAGCCTCGCCAGCCTCGCCAGCTTGGCAGTACTGTTGGCCACGCTAGGCCCCCGCGGCCCTCGCGGCCCTGCGCGCCCTAGCCGCCCTAGGCCCGCGGGCATAAAGGGTGGGGCGTATGGGGGCGGCTAGGCTCCGTGTCTGCGCCTCTGTGCCGCGGCCCGCGGGCAACGGCCGGGGAGCATAAACAGACCCCGCGCCCATCCCCGCGCCGGCCCGCCAGCCCCGCCATAGCCCCGCCACAGCCCCGCCAGCCCCGCCAGCCCCGCCAGCCCCGCCAGCCCCGCCATAGCCCCGCCAGGCACAGATAAAATGGTCTCTCGCCGCGCTCTCGCCGCGCTCTCGCCGCGCTTTTGCCCTTTCGAGCTTTTGGACTCCAAAGTGCTGGCGCGGCTTCGCCATGGCGTCGCGCTGACCGGACAGACCGGGCGGGACCGTGCGAAGCGCGAATTAATTCCTGGGCCGAGATAGAGAGTGAGAGATATGGAGGGGCGCTTTGTGATGACAGAGAGAGTGAGAGGGGACAGAGGGTCGCGTTGTGGTGAGAGAGACAGAGGGCGGCCGGCCGCGCGTGGATTAAACGGAGTGCACTCGAGCCGCGCGCTCTGCGTGGTGAACACGGACACGGCGTGCTTTGGCAGGATGAGAATGGGGAACAAGTGGAGCCCGTCATAACGATAGCATTTCGATCCAGTCTGGCCGGGCGGGCCGGGCGGCCCTGAAGGTCGTCACCCTGAGGGCGCCCTGCCGGGCCGACCCGGCCCTACGCTGCATAAAGCCAGGGCACCACTCACTCCCCCCGGTGTGCCTGAGGGGTGGAGGCCACGCCACGCCACGCCACGCCACGCCAGGCACCAGGGCTGTATACAATACAAGTAGGAAAGGCCTGCTGGCCGGGTCTGCTGCTTTCCAGCCAGTTTATCTCTCGCACTGGAGTCCGGGGCCCGGAGCCCGGAGCCTGGCCTGGAGCCTCCAGCGCGGGGCCTGTTTGCCGGAGTGCCCGGCCTTACACTCTTGCTCTGCCGTCGCTCGCTGCCGCCTTTGCGGAATCGAGGTCAAACTGGTGTTATCACGCCGAGCCGAATCGAGGGAGTCGAGCGGCGAGGGTTTTCTTCACCTCTGGCAGCGCCCCGCCCCGCCCCGCCCCGCCCCGCCCCGCCGAGCGACGAGCGGAGATGTGTGCGTCCAAAGGGCCGAAACGGAACGTCTTGGCGGGATGACGGATGATACGGCCGCGCGGCCTCCCCACGCAGACTGATGCCGAACGGTGCGCCGTCTCTCTCTCTCTCTCCTCTCTCTCTCTCTCTCTCTCTCTCTCTCTCTCTCTCTCTCTCTCTCTCTCGCACTCGCGCGGCGTTCCGTGGGGGTCCGTGGGGGTGCGAGAGGGACGGAGCGACGGGGCACTGTTCGGAATCGGCCTGCTGAGTGCAGCAGCGCGCCCGCCCACCCACCCACCCCACCCAGCGCCTTGTGCTCTGCAGGCAAAGTGCGCTGCTATCCCGCACGCCGACCCCCCCTCCCCTCCCCCTCCCCTCCCCTCCCCCCCTCCCCTCCCCCTCCCCCCGCCACGCGGCGCTCCCCGTTACTTCTTGGAGATCGCCAACGACCATTCCAATGGCTGACGATGCATTTCCTCGGCGACGCAGCGAGCGGCGCGCACTCTGCACCCTGCACGGAAGAAGCAACAACAACAACATCAAATAAAGCCAACTCGGCCACGACCCAAAGAAAAAGAAAATCCAGTTTGCCTCTTGCTGCGTGTCGAATTTTCGGAGAAACTATTTTATCGAGGTGGTTTTTGACCCTGTCCGGCGGGAGCAGGGCGGGGCAAGGCGTCCCCTTCCCGCCCGGCCCGGCTGCTTCGCGCTGCTTCGGTCAAAAACTTGGCCGAACTATACTTCCCACTTCCCACTTGAATTATATCGTCCCGCGAGGAATAAGTCGGGGCGAGTTGGGCCGAACTCGTCGCCTCCACTGCTTGTGCCCCTGCCAGTGGCAGTGCCAGCCGAGCGATTCGGAGGAGCGTCGCTCCGTCTCTCTCGCACCCGTGCGCGCAGTGCGGAGAGCCCTGTGAGTGCGACAGAGACGGAGCGACGACAGTGGCGGGGGCGGAGGCGCAGCACGGCCCCCGTAGAGCCCTCCTGAGCCCCGCGCCCCCGCACTGGCAGTGTACTCGCGGTGCTTAGGGCTTGTCGGCTTGTCAACGGTCAACGATGCACCGAAGCCCGCCCCCGAAATCCATCCCAAACAGCCATAAATTGGGCGGCGGGCTCGGCCAGGCTCGCCCTCCCCCTCCACTTCTCCACTTCGTGCCAATGCTTCATCCCATGGATCTGGCGGGGCCTGGCGGGGCGTGGCGAAGCACAATGATCAGCAGGCTGATTTCGAAGAGTCCTTTTCGTCGCTCTGTCTCTGTCGCACTCATGGGGCGTCCCGGGCGGGCGCGAGAGAGACCGCGACAGCGACGAAACGACCCTTCGGATCGGAATGGCTCGGCAGCTCAGCCCTCGCCTTTGGCAAATAATTCCGAGACCAACTCCGCGCGGCGTACAGCCTACGTCCTTCCCCTTCCCTGTTTTTTTTTTCCTTTTTTCATCCTTCTCTGACGGGATATTCGATTGGCAGCAGGGCTTGGCTGGCTGGCTGGCTGGCTGGCTGCGAGTGCCGCTGCTTTGTTTTTGTCTCTGGAAAATGGCGCTTCACCAGCAGCCCTGGCCGCCCTGGCCGCCCTGGCCGCCCTGCCCGTCCTGTCACTCCCGGCCAGCATATCGAGTTACTGTCAGACGCCGCGATGCCGCCATCCACTCCACTGTGTGGTCCTGCGAGGTCCTGGCGGTCCCGCGCCTCGTGCCGATGGACTCCGTCCCCGTCCCGCCTGCTTCCAGTGCCCCAGCCTCACCTCGATGACGTCACGGCCGACTCGGGCCTCCGATCTGTCTCTCTCGCACTCGTGGGGCTGTTACATAGGGGTGCGAGAGAGACAGAGGCACTACGCTGCACCGCGTCTCTCTCGGTCTCGCTCGCACCCCTACGGGATGCCCCACGAGTGCGAGAGAGACTGCCCTGACCTCTGCGCCGCCCTCTGCGTGCTCGGCCGCTCACCTCCCCATTTTCGACA